GGTCAGGTTTACCTGGGGGGGGAGGGGACCCTTTTCGAGGCCAAAACCGTGAGTTTTTGATAGGTCGTGACGGCGGTATTAAAAAAATACTCTGTTTTACAGCACGGAATGGACTAGTTACCGCGTGCGCCCGCCCGGAATCGGCAAGATAAACGTTTAAAAACATTGAGTTTTTTGACATTTGGTCTTCGATTTTCGGCTTCAAGACGTTCTTTGTTTCATGTCTCTTGTCGGGCGGCCGGGGCACCAGATTTTGCGATTTCGGAGCTGTTTGGGCGACAGTTTTCGCCGTTTTTGCTGGGCAGAAACATTGGTTTTTGCTGTGTTTTTGTAAATTGCCTAGGCTTGACGTCTTTGCACGAAAACGTAAAAAACCTCGCAAATAGCAGCGTTTTTGGCGGCCACGTTTTTGAAAACGTCGCAAATTGCAGTGTTTTTTGACAGCAGGCTCAAAAACACTGTAAATAGCAGTGTCTTGGGCCACGGCAAGCTCAAAAACATCGATATTTACAGTGTTTTCTCCCTCGCAAAGCATAAAAACACTGAAAAATATGGTAAAAAGTGGTGCTTTTGGCCACAGCAAGCTCAAAAACGTCGACATTTGCAGTGGTTTCTGCCTCACAGAACGTAAACACACTGTAAAATACGGTACATGGTCGTGTTTTCGGCAACGTCTACGTCACAAAACTCCGTCAATCACGGTGCTTTGCCGAGATGGAAGAATCAAAGGGACCATTCAACCAGCGCGTCAAACTTCCAGCTGCAGGTTGCTTAACTGCTTGAGACTCCATCTCGTCAGTTACTCATACCTGCTCTTCAAAAAAGATACTGGGATGTTCAACTCTTAACTGACTCATTACTCTTCATACCTGCTTTTGACCTCTCAGGGCCCTCTGCTCTCTTGCCGCTGATTAGCAGACTGTGGCTTAATGGAGGGGTTTGTAGAAACGGATTGGGGAGTTCAAGATTCTACGATGCCAATGTTTTGCATATATCTATTATTCTTTCGTGGCGGTGCGGGCGGACCTAGCCGCGGAGCGGCGTGAATATCTTGATGAAAAATGTAAATGAGTTTGAGGTGAAGCTGCACCCTGGAGTCTGTGTTTTCCAAGCGCGTGCGACAAAGGGGCACATAGGCTATTCATAGGTCTGCACGTTCATCTTTGCGGACGTCTTCTGATTGTATCGCTGCATAATTGCCGTGTGATGTTGCTTAGGGCGATTATGCCATGAAAAGAGTTAACCTGTTTGTAGTTGAAACCAACATCACACGCTCTGATTGTAGTTGAAAAGACCTGTTTGAATCCAACCTTCCTGGAGGCTGGTGGGGTAGCCATCTTCATTGGTCGCCTCTCTCGCCGAATGATATCAATCAGGTCAGCCCTGGTCTGCGTGAAGCTTAGAAGAGGTACGCAGCGAAGAGGTACCCTGCCTCCAACAATCAATCCCTGCACTCACATCTTTTCCCAGGGGTCCAACATGGTCCACTTATGGTGTTTTTTTGCTTCAGAAGAGGTATGTCCGATATTGCCAGATGATGCAGCACTGCTCCAAGGTGAACAAATCATCTGCATCGGTGACCCATCTCTAGCTCGGTGTCTTGCCTAAGTTACAAGAAGATGAGGAACACATAGGAACGCAAGCTCCCAACACGGGCGGTCAGCAGCTGTTCGTGGTGGGTCATGAGGAACGGGGCCCAATGGTTCCTTCGAGTCAATAATGTCCATCCGCAGGGTTTGTAAAAATCAGGGGATGGATGTTGATTTTCCCAGACGTCTCCCTCAAATCGGGGTCTCGACCCCTATGAAGAAACGACGCACCCCCTCCAACCCCCCACAGACCGTACACGGGCCACCCTCCATCCCCCTCCATCCCAGGCGCTACGGCGTCTTCATAGCTCTTTTCCCACTCGAAGAGACGTGTGTAACACCTCACGAGCGACACGTTCTCCGCCCGACCCGGGAGCAGGGAGTGGCCCAGAGCCTCCGCCCCAACGAGCGACGCGTCTCTCTCTCTCTCTCTGGTGTGCGGACGCACCGAGCGACGCACCGTTGACGGAAGAGGACATCTGCAGCTGCCTTTTTTGGTCCGAAAGTGAGGCTCTGTGATTGGGCCCCAAGGTGGACTATGACTCCTAACAGTGTCCAACCTTCCATGCAAAAAAGGGCTTTCGAGTCGTTCTTGAAATTTGTAATGTGATGATTTAGGGCAGCCGCAGCCCAGTAGCCAGGATTTCGCATGGTTGAATCATGTTTGGTGTGTTTGAAGGTAGCAATGACTCAAGCTTCGATACTTAAGTATACCTCGTTAATTAGGATTCACTCGTCCATTCATCAATGGAACATCATGGAACCATCTAAAAAACCGCATGAAATTCCGCCTTTCGACCGTCTCTCCAAGGCACAAGGCACGGTTGGACAAGAGCGTCGCACGCGGCAGGGACCTCGGGATGTCGGGACCGTCCCGGTCCGGGTCGGTCCGGACAGTCCGGTTACTACGGAGAAACAGAAGCAGTACAGGTCTCACCGTCTCTCCGTCTCCGAGTTTTGGAGGGTTGGGAAGGGCCCGGCCTTTGGAGGTTTCGACCTGGCAGTGAGGTGCTGGTAGAGGAGGTCTTGCCCAGAAGTCGATCAGTGGATTTCAATTTTTGTTAGGGCATCAAGGGTAAACGTGGCCTGGGTTGGCTGTGGATGAGGCACATTACACCGAAGCTGAGTAAAGTGGCAATCCGACAGAACCGAATACGCATGATACGATAATAATTTTGCTCCTTGGTTGGCTAACTACAGAAGAGGCCTTTCCTGCCAGTTGTTTGGCATGGACAATGCCCCAAGCCTGGGAAGCATATGGAAGCATCCTTGCTTTGATATGTGTCACGACATGTATGCCTGTTGTCACCGCCCCCCCCAAAGCAAAGAAAACTTGTAAACAGGGCAAGATCTCTGACAAGACCGTGTGTTCGGATTGAGCATCCATTGCACATCCCAAACTCCCACAAAACCGATGGATGTCCTCTTCCCCCTCACTTGTACCATCTCGATCGGCCACAGGGTCGAGTCTATCAAATCCGTCCAGGATCAGCTTGCGTCCGTTCTCACCATGTGGTAGACTACAAAAATCGCCCACAGACTGATAGAACGCAAGCTACCACAGGGTCGAACGTCCGTTCTCGAACGCCCACAGACATCGACCCACCAACATCGCCCAGACACTCGAGACCTTCAGACTCAAGAGCCTGGCACACGACCGGACCCAGAGCGGGCGGACAGCCCTTCGGCATCCGCCGTGCCCGGGGGGAGAGAACGGCATGGACCGGTGGCTGGTGGACGCCAAACGAAGCCCCGGTGACCGGGCCCAAAACGCAGCGTTGACGCGTCGTGGACGCCGAAGCCCGTCACGAGGGTAGATGTATTCGTGAGGCTCAGCGAGACCTTTGGAACAGGTGTTGGAGACTGATTCGCCTATAGAACCGTTGTCTATACTTCCGGCTTTGGAGAGTTCTAGGATGTTCAAGGAGGATGGAGGTTTGTCCAAATGCTGGACTCTTGGTGATGGACAAAGACGAGCTGGATGTTTTGTTTTTTTTGGCATTCCAAGTGCGAAATCGCATGGCATTCTACATCGTCCACCTCTTGTTGGAAAGACCATAACATTCCAAACGTGTTCACCTGATACTTGGGAAAACAAAACATATTGAACATCCTAGAATTAGGTTCCGCCTCTTCTGGCAGGGGCAAACTCAAGGAGCAACACCTTCACCTCCTCTGAAAGAAAGAAACAAAAGAACAAAACATAGATAAAAACAATACCAACATTGAACATGGAGAAAAAGGAATCCCCTGTGTAACACTGTCAACCACTAGCCTCTTTCCGGCGCCGTTTGAGTGGCCTTGCTGTAAAGGGAGAGCGCCGTGTTCCATTCCTGCCGCTACAAGAGGCTGGGGTGTGACGCCAGCATGATCGCGCTCATGGGCGAAGGCAAAGATGCCTAGTACATCTTAAAGTACAATTTCTCCATCTACACTGTGAACCAGACATCCGAAGACTTCTGGGTTCGAGGACTGAAGCTATTTGCATCTTGCACAGAAGCAACGCGTAGCAACACTGTAGAACACACAGTCACATCTGCTGAGATCGCTCTGTATATGTCTGATTGCCTCGATTCATCCCACCGAACTCCTTGTCTTTGAAGGCTTTGTCGGCGGCCTGCTTTGTCTCCTGCTTTTGGTCATTCGACTCCAGTCTTCCAGGTGAAATGAGGACAAATTTGTGTTACGAAGTTAAGAACAGAGTTCATATTTGACCCCAAGGCATTTCCCACAAATCCCTCTGGATCCACTGCCACCCTCTGAAAAGGTGATGTCTGGATCCACTTCACCAGTCCTTGTTGGTTTGTTTCGCGTCCAGTCCAGTCGGTGTCAACCTGAGAAAGAGTCCATTCGTGGATTCCTAGAGAATGGGTGGACAGGGTGGAACCTTTTCAGGGTACAGAGACATTGGACTTCGAAGACGTGATAGTTCAGGACCTCGTCGGAGGTCCAGCGGTCACAGCGGTCGCCGGCCTCGGAACCTGCGATGTTCTGAAGCATTTGGGGTGATTTGGGACTCATGCCATATGGATGATTGGACCTTTGACGTGTGTTAAACATCTTTAAACATCATATCCTGGAACCTTGGAACATCCTGGAACTTTGGACCACGGAATACCACGGAATACCATGGACATCTTCCCGAAGCCAGCCCATCCACTCTCAGTGGCTTTGGACACCTGCTTCTTGGGGCACATGTAGGTGTAGGTGTGCCAAGCGTTGACGTCCCAAAATGGTCGCCATGGTCGCGTGCATGAAATTCGACTCCCTCGCCTCCCAAGGCTTCTTCTGGACCTCCTGAGGTGGTTCCACTTCTTTGGCTGTTTCGGCTGCTTCGGCCTCGCATCTGAGCGTCAAAAATTCCGAGCTCCTTCCACTTCCAACTAAACCCTTATGCCGCCCTCCAGCCCCTCATGGCCCCTCCACCTGCCAGCAACTCCTCCTCCCCTTCGCCTCAGCCGCTTCCACGGAGGCTTCGAAGCCTACGGGCAGTGGCGCATTCGAGAGGCCGCCGTCCAGCTTCCGCTGCCTCTCCAGTAAGGCTTCGGCGCCTGGCCGCGGGCCGCGCATGGACGAGCGGCGGGAGCGGAGTGCTGGAGATGAAGCAGATGGACCGCGTACATGGTGATGTGACGTTGAAACATGTTGAAACCGCCCACCCTGGGTGCTGGTTTGAAAGGGGGGTGTAAAATGTTGTAAGTCTGTAAATCAACTTCAATTTACCAACAATTTGTTGAATCGTACTGCGGCAAATGGTCAATGAAGCATGACTGAACTCTGATACTTTTGGTATATGTATTTTGGAGCCAATGCCCCCTTCAGGGGATCCATTTTCCGGTGGAGGTGATCCTCCACAACACTCCGATTCTGATTGCTCGTGGGAGACAGGTGAGGAAAAATGACTTGGCTGATAAGGAAAAAACCGTGCTGCGGCGGTTTTTTAGGAAACTCAGGTCATGAAGCGCCCCCACAGCGAGCTCGATCCATGGCACAACCCCCAGTGACAACTAATTCAATGAAGTACACTCATAGTGTTTGATATTGCTTGGTGGTCCTCCTGTCTTGTTGTTTTTAGGTTTTCGAGGTAGATTCGTAGTCTTCGCGTGCCGGACAGGGTATCACTTGCTGATCTTGCTGATCTTGCTGGATGTGCCCAGGATTTCGACCCTGGCTGCGGCTCCGGACGCTTCTGTCTGAGCTCACGAAGACGCCTCGAGGGTCTGATGTCGAAGTGCGATGAAAACCGCCAAATGCAGAGTAGTTCAAAGGTGGATTGGCAGAACATTGCAGAACTATGTAGAACATTGTAGAACTTCAGGCTTCTGTGTCCGTTGAGTTAGTTGCAGGGTATACATATAGTTCAACCAATTTCACGACTCAAAGGAGGCGGTTTCAACTCAAGAACTGGTTGATATACACATGCTTCAATCAAAACCACCACCTGAGGAAATGTTGATTGTTCAACGACCCATCGGGTACAACGATGTTCAACGATGTTCAATGTTTAACGGCCTCTTGTGGAGCTTCAACTCCTTCAGGATGGGCTCCATCAGGAAATGAAGCTGTTCACACTCCTCCGCACCGAAGAAAAAGAACAAATGAAAAAACAAAAAACGCGCCCCGCTCGTGAAACCACGCGTCGGACACCTTCGATCGACATCCAAACATTATCCGGAAAAATACGCCGACTCCGGCTTAGGCCGATGAACGTGAGCATCAGCAGAGGGGGGCCGGCGTGTTCCTGTTGAAGGACTCCGTTGAGCGGTGGGCGATGTCACATTGCCGTCACACTGACAAACACTTGCCAAAAACACTCCCGCTTCAATGACATTCGTCTAAATTCTCTTGTGGGACCGTCAAGATTTTTTGCGGGACAAGCGTTGCCCAGGATTTGGCCCCGGGTTCGACCCCCCTGCGTTCAACTACTTCCTCACCCCTTGCTTTGCGGTATTGGGCGTGCCGCCTACACGGTAGGAACCCCCAAGGGATACCGCGCATGGGCCGCCAGGGTCTATGTCTTTTCTTCCTGGCGGCACGCGCGCAGTTCCTTGGGGCGCCATGCGTGGCTCGTGTTCGGCGAGTTGCCGCTGTAGCCGAAGAAAAGCTGTAGCCGAAGAAAAGAAACCGAACGACACGGATAGAAAAGCGTTGAAGTGTCGTGGGCCACGTGGGCCGCGTGCTGAATGGCGGGAACTGGGGGTAACATCAGCTCGAAGTCGGTTGCTGAAGAGTCCCTGGTATAAACAAACACCTGAGAAGCTGCAAAACGAAAGCCAGCGTTACCATCGGCCTCTGAAAAACTACACCTTGCCATTCAGATGATGCAAATGATGCAAATTGCATTTCTTGCATCACCACCCCCTCAAAAATCACAAAGAATCACCTCCAAAACAACCTCAAAAGCCTTATTTCGGTGGACCCCTAAACACCACCTAATTTGGACTTTACGTAGCCCTTTCTCGGGCCACCCCCCCCCACACCCCCTACTTACTCACTTCATTCACCAAACACAACTCAGCTGGCGCCTTCTATGAAGGCTGGCTTTCGTAATAATGGACATGCATGAGATGGAAGCACCACAAAAAGGAGACATCTTTGCAAATGAATTCTAGTGCTAGATATTCCAACATCGATCGATCAAAAGGTTGACGAATCATGATGAGTTAAAGATCATTAAAGTACGTTCATGACTCTCTACCAAACCAGGAGGGAAGTCTCATCTTCCACATATTCCACCACTTCTCGACCGCTCCACTATGGGCCTCGAGGGGTCGGCGGGCACCCCCTAAATAGTAACTATTGATAACTATTGTAACAATCATGACACATATCATGACTATTGTAAGTAATTATTGTGCCATATTGCGCCTCCAAAAGCCTGCAGCTTTAGTGCTGCCCTGCACGACACAACCCAACGAGACCCTTTTGCTCAAAATTGAAATGAATAGGTGTTCATAGGTGTTCATTGAGCCAATTCAAATCCATTTTTGAGAATGATTGCCAATCTGATTCAATCAGAGTGAGTCAGCTGATACTTCTAGCCCTCCCGCAGCATCCCCTGATCAAAGACATGAGATCGGATCTCTTAGATGACAACGGTCACCCCGTCACGTCACTCCGCCCGTGTTGGGCGTCCGCAGATCAATTCCAGTCTTTCGCGAAAGCGAAAGCGGGTACACACATCGATCGACCGCCGTCCTCATCCTCAATCTCACATTTCTCCTCTTCCGACCTGAACAAGCCGCTCCCCCCCGCCCTCGGTGCCCGGGACATTGGGAATCGGACGACCATTGAGGTGTCAAAAAACGGCGGGTGAATCAAACGCCACATCCTTGCGGGTGAAGCCGTACGACGGAGATGACAATCCAGACCCTTCGAGGGTGAAGAGAAACTACAATCATATTATATATATAATATATATATATATATAGAGAGAGAGAGAGAGTCTATGTACAAGGTTTTATTACTCCCGCATGTTCTTGATTGGCATCTTTGCAGAATGTAGAGAAGCGAGGCATGGGGCAGCAACAAGCGGCAATTGGCCAGCTGGCAAGCTCAAGGCAGATATCCAATGTATGGATAGCAGCGATTGGAAGTTTCTCCCCATTTTGAATAGACCTCCCTGGATTCACAAGTCTTGGATTCCCGGGATCTACAGTAGAAATGAGTGATTCAAGAAGACCTTGAACTTGGGGATCCTGTTGTTTTGCATGTTTAGGATTAATGAACAAACCGGACTGCTCAGGTTTTCTTCTGTGGCCGTCCGTGGCTTGGAAGTGGGGAAACCTTGTTTCGGTCTGAGTTGATAAAAGGTCTGGTCTGAGTTCACAAAGTGTCCTTGTATCTTGCAAATATTAGGAAATACTAGGACACGTTCTTTTAGGACTCAGGGGTCACTGACCGGGTGTAAAGACAATGCTTTACCAATGAACATGTGAAAAGGTGCTCACAATACTTGCCGCCAAGACAAGCTGGTAGACTGCAAAGAAGGGAAGAAGACAAAGACTTTCTGCACAGACTTGCCAACTCCATGGATCGTCTAACTCCATTGTTTTTCGAAGTTAGAGTCGGCTGAAAGAGGTCGAGTTCCTGTGTGCTTCCGTTACCTACCGAACCCGCACAGCCAAGGAACTGATCAACGGTAGAATTACTTGACTACCTGGAGGGTTTCCTTGTTTCATTACCAGGTCAGGAGCAACGACTCAGTTGTATTGTATACAGGATCTCAAGTTCTTTAATCTATGCTGGAAGATGACGTGATGTCTATGCTGCATGATCTCAGCGGCTGCATCTTTAAGTTAGGGTCTATGTATTCTATGTATATGGTGTCTTTCCGTTTTCTCTTTGGACCCTGGACCGGGTCTCCCGACGGTCCAGGAGGGATGCTCCACTCCTCCACTTCCTTCTTCCTGGAGTTGATCGTTCGAAAAGAGAAAAGCAATACATCATGTGTTCGGATAGGATGAGATAGGATGTTTTTCTTTAAGCAAATAGTATAATCATGAGATAGCAACAAAGAAAAGATAGGATGAGATGGGTGTATTGGGGGCGTTTGAACGGCCACCCGGCCATCCTGCTTTGCACGTCGCGGCCTCTGTTTTCCCTTACAGTATCCGACTGAGGTCTAAGTTAGACACGACGATCACTGAAAAGGACCGGGTCCAATGAACCTTGTCATTTCTTGCGATGGCCTCTTCGCCTTCTGCTCTCATTCTTGGGTTTGTCATGTTGGCAGGACAAAAAAAAGGATAGAAGGTTCTATGACAAACACGGTGATGATACACCGTGGCAGTTCAGGTGGGCAAATTCTGGTTCAACCTGGGCCAAACTAGTTCACTCGGGCTACTCACCAATCTCATTCAGTCTATCCCAAGCTCAAGAGAGTGGTATTGAGGATGGCTGTGATGGGCGGACGAAGCGGACGAACATGACGGAAGAACTCGCCGCCCAGCTGGGCTGATCTGGTGCGAAGGCAATGAGGGTGGCTGAATCCAAAGTAGGAATCCATATTGAATGGATATTCAGGGCTCACTCATTCCCTCAGTGTCCCTCATTCCTTACGAATGCACCAGCCACTGAATGGCTTCCTTACCCATCCTAGCGAGCTGCAGCAACAGAGAACTGGATCCTCCAACCGGTGCTTCAGCCCGCACCGTTCGATCTTGTGCCCTAACCCTTCGTCGCTTCGTAGCTTCGCGCCAAGCTTCTTCCGCCGGTACGCCACGAAGGTCTCGTTCCGCACCTGGAAGGATACGCACAGCGGGAACGCATCGGTCCGGCGGTGGGCCGCTGGACGAAGTGTGCGACAGGTTCGGTCTCTTTCCTGACGAATGAATTGCAAGACTGGACTGACATCTGTCGTTCGTGCCAGAGGTTTTGGTTGAAAGATGTTGAAAGTCACAGAAAAGAGCTCGTATGCTTCTGATGAGCTCATGTGCTTCCTCGAACACCTCCCCCTCCACCACGCAGGTGTGATCTTCCGCCTTGCGGCGCTCTTCGATCTTCGCCTGGGTGCAAGAGCTCGGGTGGTCACGTGGGCGGTGGACGTGCCATACACGGAAGTGGAAAGCCTCCTGTTTGTAGAGGAAAATGGTCTTCCAAGGGGCCATGCCATCCACTTCCATCTTAGTTATCTTAGATCCAGGGAGTGCAGGTACAGAACCCAACCTGTGAGTGAATCAAAATCGATCAACATATCCTGGATATCCTCCATCAAAACCACCCCGGCATAAGTAAACCTTTGGACTGAATGCATGGATCCAAACAGTGATTTTTGAACAAAGCCCACATCATTGGAGGATGTCTATTGATTTGTCCTGTGGCTGGTCATGACAAAGCGGAGGAACCGCTGCCTGTGAAGAGGCTGAGAGATCAGGTTCAGCTTTCGTGGCTGCTGGATCTACTGCCAGCTTTGAAGCCAGTTTGCGAGCAGTACATACAGTACACGTAACCATGTAGACCCAAACCTGGCCTAATGATTACCACTCTCGCCCAAGAAATCGCACTTGGCATTGCCTGTGTGATTTGTTTCAACCTTGCTCCACCTCCAACCGGCACATCCAGTCTCTGTCTGTCTTTCTGGCCAAACCTGGAGATCGTTGAAGCGCTGCTGTTCCGCATTGAACCATCTCTGTAGCAGCTGGCCATGAGTCTTGTGCCAAGTCAGGGCCTTGGAACGATTGCGAGCATCCAGGATGTAGCCACAGGAGCTCCCAAGAAAGTTTCGAGATGTTTAGAGTGCTTCTGGGGGGTCGCTTAATATAGGTATATCATGCGGCAGATCAGATCCCAATGCAATGAATGATGCAGCATCAATCATCTTGATTACTTTGGCGGTTGCTCAACAAAGCCAAGCTATATGTAGGTGTGGGTTCAGCCACTGGGTGTTTGAAAGATCTGGGATTGTATGAAGGAATATACTACGTCCGAGATACTCCAACCAATGACGCCCGTCAATGCTCCAATAACGCACAGAATCGTTCGGCAAACAAAACCCGTCTGAGGCTGAGTGAGACCACTATCCCAAACATGTGCTCCTGAGGATTCCTGAGGTCCCTCAGTTTGTGCTCCTTGATGTTCCTGTTCCTTTCAAGCTGCAAGAGACCCGCCATCTGGCTTTCTAGAAAACTATATACAGTTGTACATAGTTATCCTCTACTGTACCCTTCAGCTTGACTGTAGGGTGTCAGACACATCTCTTTCCACGTCCTCGCAACTGACCCTCCGCCGGAACCGACCTCGGCTGAGAGACCAGGTCGTGGAGTCCGAACGGAGTCCCTCCGGGATCCGCACCCATTCGCCAGTCTCCAGTTCGATCCTTACACCGGTGCTTTGAAGGTGGAAGCAAGGGAAACAGGCGGACCACCGAAACCCGAGCACAAAGGTGGCTGTGTGGCTCCTTCTTTCCGCCTCCGCCTCCTTTTGCGAGCGAGTCAGAGATGTGTCCTTCTGAAAAGGGGGGCCAATCCGAAGGTCTTTGGGACGAGCGAGCTGTGAAGTGTGAGGGACATCACACTCCACCAGCTATTTGCTGTACTGAATAGAAGCTGCTGCCGGGCAGCACTCGGAATCACCAACAAACAGCCAACCAAGAAATGCCGGGCTGATCGGAACATCGCCAGCGAAAAATAGGGGCAGAAACCTTGGGTCAGTCAACATGTTGTTTCGTCACAATTGTGATGATTGTGGTCTAATCTGATCCGCAAATGGTTCTATGCAGAAAAACCTGAGGTGTTCGCCATGGGATGCTTCCCTCCGGCCTTCCGGCCTTCTCCGTTGTGGAGGAAGCGGAGGAACCGTTGGCCGATAGCTTTTCCACCCCCTACAGAGAAGTTAAGGGGAACGGACCTCATCTTACTGAAGTTGATCCATACAAAAACGCTACTTACTTGGCAAAAGACCGGATTTTACTGGGTCGGACTGGACCTGGGATGATCTGGGATGGTGGTTTGGGAGGCCTTGAGAGTGTCAGCCTGAGCCATTCCATTGTTTATGAGCTGAACACGATTCACCACGATTCGTGGCCCCGGGATTATCCTTCCCATGTGTCCGTCTGACATTCGAAAGAAGTTTCCGCCACACCCAACTGAGGCCCAAAAAAGCAATGACACATAGGTGATTCTGGTAGTTACAATACCGACACTGCAATATATCACCTGTATATAGCTCCAAACTGACCCGAGCTGAGCCGAGCTGCCAATAGTCATCAGTGACCTGATACCGATGGCACCAATGACACTGACCGAAGCGAAGGGAAGCGAAGCGGTCCCGGTCGCTTCAAAATGATACATCATCGTTCCTCTTGTTGAAACACTTTTCTGGCTGTGCTCGAAATGGAAAATACCCAGCACCAGCACTGGCACCAGCCACTGCCAGGTAGTATAAAGAAATACAACTCATTGCGAGCACCACCCAGTTCAGGTGGTTATTGGATGGAAACTGGTCAGGGGCCGGGGGGGGAGGTCTATACTGAAACCACACCACTTGGGCGGTGCCTCCTTACTCCTTCAGAGCACCGGTGTTTTGATCTGACCTCCAGGGCAGACGGAGGTTCTGGAGCACGGAGCAGGGGTCCGAAACACCTATGATGAAGACCGGCATCACCCTCCGGCGGATTCATCCAGCCACCCAGGTGGAAAGCATGCTGCAAATGACCCCATGTTTTTTCGGACACAAATAGCATCAAATAGCCAAACGCCAAATCCGGGTGAACTCATCGTAACCATCTGAGGCACCACATCTCTCCGAATGATCCCATCCTCCCATCCAACTCTGGTCTCGCCCAGCTTCCCAACAACGTGTCTATCAAAGTCGCTGTGAATTTGTCTGTCCTTTCACCACGAACATGGAACATGGCACGGAATTGATGACTACACTGACTCCACCACACCTTTACCACTCATACTCATACTCATACCATCTTTACAGTTGTGGTCGCTACCAGACCAAGAAAACTGACCTATAACCAACCGGTGGAACGTCGAATGCGCTACATTCTTGGAGCATCTCATTAGCTTTAGTCAACTCCATGGCCTGCCCCCAACCGGTGGAGCCTCCCATCCGGTCGGTCCCTCCGTGCGCCGTGCCTTCCAGGACTTGGCTTTCACCACTTCGTCGAAGACCAAGCGCCGGCTGATGGGCCCATCTTCCGTGGGCTTGGTCCGAACCACCATGGCCGGCTTGAAGACCTGGGACGATAGGGAGATCTCAGGTGCAGGTCAGTGTGTTGGTGTTGGTGTGGTTGTGGATGTTGTTGTTGTTGTTGTTCTTGTTGTTGGTGGCGGCCATGACCATGGAAAGAACAGAAACGGCCAAAAGCTGCCAGCCGGGCGGCGCAAACCCACTGGTTTTGGTAATTGTGCGTCTGCATGAACTCATCCACCCACTTCTTCTCCTCAGTTTAAGACTCGCGGTGGATTGTTGTAGTAGTAAGTAGACTCTGCAGTCGTTCGTGGATCCAACCACTAAATATATAGTGTACGATCTATCGTTGAACTGCAATGCGTTTCAAACCGTGCTTCCATGTTTCGGTGCCAACTGCGATCTCCCAATCCTTGCGTTTCTAAAATCGCCTGCATCGCTTACAGATCAGGTTTCCGCTGCGGAAGACGGCAGATCGATCTGGCCGCCTCGTTCAGCTGAGTGGCCGCTTGTAGTTGGAACTCGAAATTGGATCGGAGCCTTTGAAGGGCGGTTCAGCACGAGGTTTTTGCACGAGGAAGTGAAGCAAGCGGGTCGTGGGTGGGTCAGTTGTGACGGTCAGACCGTGGGTGTTGATAGGGACCATCGACAACCGTAGGAGGCTGGATTGGAAGGAGGCTGGATTTGTTGGCGGCTTCGAGATCGGCCTCGTGGCTCGAGTTGCCAGTCCTCGAGGACCATGCCAAAGCCCATGGGAAGTGCTCAGTTGTGAGTTGCTTTACAGGAAGAACATCCCTTTGCCTCATCTTAGTCTCTTAGTAGCTGCCCCCAGTCAAAGCGTTATATCAAAATGATGTGGTGCATGCGGAACTTGAAGGGATGGATACGAAAAAAATCACCCTATCCTGCCTCAGTCACGTCTCACTATATACGTCATCTTTTGGAGCGCAGAACATGTGCAGAACATCACATGTGCACCAGGAGAGAGGGATAAACCAATCCTTCAAACCCAAACGCTCCATGTATTTACATACATTGGCTTGGTCAATGTCGGCATATCTTCCATACATGGAGCGACTGGGAAATGGTCTAGTTGCAATGGTCTTAAGTCTCACTTCTCAGTTCTACCAAGGCTTCAACAGAATTCGAAACATCCTCTCGCACAGGGTCCGTTTGCCCCCCCCCCTTCTGTCGGATCACCCCGTCGCTCCCACCCGTCCCGGGTCCGGAGGTGTGCCCAAGGCACCCGTTCATCTCCCGCTCCACTCGGTCCAGTTCTCTCTTCCTCAGAACAACGCGGGTCTCGAACGAGTACTCGCACGCAAAACTTGGATAGTGGGAGGTGCGTTACGCACGTCCCGTCGCTGATTTCGGTCGTTTTCGGGCGTTTTGAACTAAGACTGGGGACTGAGAGATACCGAGATCCTCTTGAACAGAGTCACGAGATACCGTGGATGAGTCCAGCTCGAAACACATCTTGAAAACACCTCCATGTTGTTCTTGCGATGGAAATGGAACCTGAAAGACCACCCGGGGTGGACCTGCACACCGAAAGACTTCAGCTGAAAGGAGTTCCAAGAATCTTGTCCTTCTCCAGAAGCTCCCGCAACTGCCCCTCCTGCGACGGGGTATATAGCATTTCTTGCAAAGAGATGACAGGATGGTTTTCATTAGCACCTCCCATGCTCAGCCAATCTCCGCCACTCCATCACACCATGGATCTCCAAAGGTCCATCAGTTCATGCCGCCGAACTGCCCAGCACCTGTCAACCAGCCCCTCCGCCATGACTGCTTAATGACAGCGAACGATGTCCAACCACACACCCTGTCCACCTGTCTGTCCACAAGCTGTCTTGCAAAAAAAGAATCCCCCCAAACAGCCCCACCCACCTCTTCCCGAGTTGGACCTCCACCGGAGCTCGCGCACGACGCGTGGGACCCCCGTGCATTTTTCACAGGGTCCTCCTCTTGGCGTTCGCCCGAGAGCCGTTCCTTCCGCTCCGTCCAGTGGCGTTTCACCTGCTCCAGGTCGCCTGAAGCGGGGTCGAGTTGGACTCCAAAGACTTGCAGGCTGCAATGCCTAAACTAAACAGCTGGGTGAAGTGGACGTGGTTAAAAACCACAACTTATAATAGGAAACAGCACGGTCACTCCTAACTTCGATGTAGATCTTGGGTGATGATATTTGCAATGTCCCATGATGTCCCATCTTCATCCTTGACTTCAGGACAAACATATTGTAGATGATGTTGGTTTTGTTGCAGGCCTTTCGTTAAAGAAATAGTGATAATTGTCTACCGACTATTACAGGTAATGGGTCAAACTCAATATGAGATATGAGATATATAGTTTATATATACATTTATTGTTTAAAAGCATTTAAAAAAAAGTATAAAACGAGCACTCAATCATCCCATCAGTCTCTTATAGTCTCTTGCTTCTCCGATGCCAGTGGCCTTGCTTCTCCCGGATCAATCGAGTCAACTCCTCGCAGGCGCTTTTCGGAGCACGACGTGACCGGTCGCATGACCGGTCGTCTGTGCTTGGTCGTCTCGTCTGGCTGATGAACTGGAGCGGCGAACGAGAACTCTCAGCTGCCCCAAAAACTGCAATGCTCTGCAATGAAGGGGTGATAGGAAGTGAGAGCAGAGTTCTGGGTATGTTCATCGTGTACAGTAGTATGACAGCCTCTGCATAGAATTGAACAAGGGCTTTGGTGTAGCACGGTCGGATACGATGGCCAACTCATCTGCCAGCAAGCTCTCTGCCAAAACCACTTTTATGAAGCACTGCATGCGCACACCCTCCGGTGTTTCACAAACGCCCTTCGCCAGTCCTTCTCTTCATCGCCTTCTTTCTCCGGGATATCAATGTTCCTCAGAACTTGGAAGACATGCAAAACAAGACTCCAGGCTGGCACTAAACCCAGCGCTATACAGGAGACCATGGAGCCTGCTCTTTTTTAGAACTCCGGGCTGGCACTAAACCCTCCTCAAAATGGCATGCGTTCTTGTCTTTTTCCTGAAGCGTCGGAACCAAAACGAACTGACCAACGAATCTGTCATTTCAGTTGATTCCTCATATGAATCTTCTTCTCAATCCAATTATCTAACAGGATGCCACACAACATGTCCATCCGCACTTGCCAACTTGTTCCGACTTCCAAAAAAATTGGCTACTTCTGCCGAGCTTCACCTCCGCCGTGTGTTGCCCCGCCGGTCCGGCATGTGGCGAGGCCTCCCCGGCTCGCACGTCGTCGGACTGCGCGTTGGTGTCAAAGCCACCCGGGGGGCCAAGCTCGAAACGGAGGAGGAACTCTTGCTCCTCAGCCGGGAGAGTGTGAGTGCGGAATCGGAAACAATTTAAAAAAGAATACATTGAAATAAATGATTATGAAAAAAACCTTCAATACTACAATCATTGCTGTAAATATAGCTGAAAATGTAGTCCACTTGAAGTCAAAAGTATACAGCCTTGATATGCCTTGATTGATGTTTAAGCAGCAGTTTCCTCCTCCCCAAACCCGCCTCCGTGAGCGCCTTCGGCACCGGCTTCGACGCGGCCGGCGGCTCCGGCTTTCCCTCGGGGAGGTCGATGACCTCGTCGTCGCTGTGCAGCTCGGCGTCGTCGAGGGACACATGGGAGCTGCAGGGCAAGGGCTGCGGAAAGAGCCGCGGGTGGCAACACCAGGCGTAGGCCTCCGCTTGAGTGAACCCGGGGCGGTGACGGTTGTACTTCTTCTTTCGCTCTGTTCGGCTGAACAAGGAGGGTGTATGGTTTTGTTTGGTTTGTGAAGCTGGGGGAGTGTGCATTTCAAGTAGGATCGTGATGATGGTAGGGGGGATCAGTGGTATGAGTGGGGGAATTCAGGCGCCAAAAAGCAGTAGGTGAGACCAATTGCAAAGGCTTAAAAGGGTTGTGGTATATAGTAAGAGTAGGAAGAAGAAGAAGAAGAACAACAACAACAACAACTACTACTACTACTACGACCACCACCACCACCACCACCGCCGCCACCACGGCAACATTGGCACGCCTCCACTACCACCAGCATTCACCCCCATGCCGCCCATGCCCCACCAACTCCTCAGCTCCCACCTGCGGATCCCCTTGCGCGTGGAAGCCCAGCGCCGCAGCCGCTTTGTTGAAGCTGACGGGATCCGTCCCCACTGGCGAGGTCCATACCACCGCCACGCAGGGCAATCGCACCTGGACCCAGGCACCGTGTCCGCGGGCGCCACAGGCCACGCGTCCGTGCGGAGCGTGGCTTTTTTGGTGCGGAGCGAACCGACCGCCGGGAAGCCCACCGGTTCCCGGTGGAGATGTGTTTCCAGTACTGGCAAGTCTTTAAACATGCATACAAGGGCGCTGGCAACATGTGCTTGTTGATTGTGGTTAACGGTTATTCCTTTGGGATCTGTTTAGTAGTTTAGACTGTTGAGCGATTGTCAATTAAAGGTGCGGCAGATTGAGATCGCTGTTCTTAATGATATGCTAAGATATCTAAGATGGGAAAAGCACTACACTGTTATGTATGGTGCATGATTGCACAGTGATGCACAGGAGGTCCTTGAAAGCCTTGAAGTAATTCCTTATGGGCCCAACGAGCATCCGACAGAACCACTGAACTCCTTTGTGCACCATTTGTCCATCAAGGCTGACCGACCCTCAAGTGCTTTTCATCACAACCGGCCCTGGTTGCTGCTTCATTCTAAGGCTGAGGACGTGGTTTTCAACTCATTGGACACATCTTACCGAACCTGAGGGGACCCACATGGGTCTATCATCCCAGGTTGAAGATCAAACAGGCTCTGTCTGTCCTACCACCCATCTGAGCTCTGTATGCTCTGACGTCTCCTTCATCCAGCCTTCAATCCGGCTCGCTCGCGGGCGTCCAAGGCCATGTACTTTCGCACGGGTAAGCCACTCGCCAAGGGGTTGGACAGTGTTACCCGCAGGGTGCCCTGCGCGAGGCGACTGCTGACCGATGGATCGTAGAAGGGTTGAAGCGATGGAACACGTGGCATTGATCTTGGATACGTTTGACAAATGACTGGATGTTTGGAATCCTGGAAGGTTTTCCAATCTTCTGGATGTCGATACCAAAAGAAAAGAACTGGAACATCACTGGGGGGGTTCCTGCCTATTGACCGACCAATGAAAACATAGCCAACTGCCGGTGCTCAAAAACGCGCCTGGTGATTGTACTTCTTGACATGTCGTCGCAACAGCACATCTTTACCTCTGCGGAACATGCGCCGACTCAGTGGCACAGTGGCAGGTGGAATCCTGATATCTGAAAGATGGGAGGAGGCATGAGGAGGCCAGGCTGTTGGGCATTGTCTTTTAGATCCTGAAGGCAGAAGTCTCATGCCCAGGGCATAGGCCTGGCAGTATGTGTAGGACCTGGAATGGACGCTATATACATGCTACAAATGCTTCACACTCACGGGCATGAAGCCTGCAGCCTGGTCTACGAATGGAACTGGAAACAACCCTTCCCTCAAGACCGGTAGCCGCTTTTGGCTCATTCTCTTCGGCCAAGTCACAGCAGCTGCTGTTGATGCTCGGCACTAGGGCTGGGCCATCCAACTGTACCTTATTTCCAGCTGCGGTTCGGTTTCCACTGCTTGGCTGGGGGCTCCCTGGCCCGGGTTTTACCAACTACGACGCGGAATAGACGACACCCCACGGGTACCAGCAGGCGAAGACCCTATTTGTTCAGATATCTCTGAATGATCAACATGGATCAAGACACATGCCCATATTAGTTTGGATGTTGGATGATGTTGGATTTCCAGATTTCCAACCACCCCATCCTACAGGTCTTCCAACACAAACCCAGTTTCAATTGCACCCATGTCCTCACAGCCCCTAACCTTCGCACCAAACACTCCTCAAACACCGGTTCACCGAGGCACATGCACGGTGATGGCCAAAGGCCCACGCTTCATGGGCGTGTCCGGCAGTGGAAGGCCCTCACCTTCCAACACGAAGGTCACGTTGCAGGATTTACCTCGGTCGCTTCGCGTCGCGCCGCGTACGCGCCACACGGCGCGGTGGAGAGGGTCCCAAAAGTCCGTCCCAACGGTGGGGGGGCACGGACTTGGATTCGCTCTGGAAAAGGAATGCACTCCCTGAAATCATCCATGGAAGTGGAAAAAAAGGCACCGGATTTTGGTACTTTCAGAACCATTTTCCAATGGTTGTCATGAACCATGAGAAGTTTCAGAGGATCTGAGAGCAAATGATTGTTCCCCTTGTGGGGCGAACGGCACCAACGGCCGGCTCGGTCCCAGGTACTCGGCGCCAGATCCAGCAAGGGATTCTTGAAGCGGATCAAGACCATTGAGCCCTGGCAGTGAAGACTGTGCGATGATGAAGCACAATAGATGGAAAGTCAGAAGATCCGCACTGGGCCGTACCGTATAGACTGTGATATATATATATATTATATGATGTATTATATATATATATATATCAACTCCCAAAAAACCATCACGTCATGGCATCCTACAGCAGTGGCCATCACCTCTACACTCCATCTCTAAAACGAACACCTCACCCCACCCCACCGCTCAACACCACCTCTCTCTCCTCTACACGTCCGTGCCGGGGCGCCTTAAATGTGGGCGACCACACCGCCACCGCCGCCTGCGTGGCCTTCGCGCGCACCTGCAGCGGCGAGGCCAGCTGCAGCGCGCCGCTGGCGGCGCTCCCGGCGGTCGCGGCCACTTGCCGGAGGAAGGGGTGGACCTCCGGGCACAGAACTGGCGAGAAAGTTGTTGTGAAGAGGAGATCTATACTTAAAAGTATAGTCTTGTTATTCACTCATGACATGCGTACCTCTTGAAACATATCTTTGCACAAATGTGCGTGCATTAATATACTATAATATAGAGGAAAATCCTATGACAAACAAGCAATGATCGGGCACCAGCGGTTCCCTGGTAGTTTCATGTACACACGGCCACACGGCGAAATCTTGAAAGAAACAAACTTTCCCACCAGCAAACTCAGAACATGTAATCAGAATCTCCTGCTGGTTGATTCCCGTCAGCCAAGCGATAGCCCAATTCAAGCCTCATATACTGTAACTCCAAAAGTTCTACAAACTCATATTCAATATTCCTTCAGAGTTTGTTCCCCAACAGTGCCTGTTTGATCTTTTTGGAATCCCTAAGTGACCTTTTGCAGGCCTAAGTGACCGACCTCGAACCAGGGGATGAAGTTCGGTCACTTGGAAGAACCAGGTATACACATTCACATCATCTTGTGTCAACTTCAACCCTAAAAGATCATGGAACGACTCCATCAACTCCCCATCATCTTCATCACCCGACTCGCTTGGAACAGCCAATTCGGCCCGAAGTCCGGCCGCAGCAGTGACTCGGCGAGCCGGAGCACGGAGAGACGACGACCAGTGGTGACTCGGCCAGCGCGGACGGAGACGGTGACGGTCCAGGCCTTGTGTCGAAAGACGACCACCAAATCGCCCGGAGAGACATTGAAGCTGGGCCAATGTCCGTCTCCCGGCAAGCGGTACTCGCTACCGTCCGCCTGCGACAAAGCGGACCAAAGGGCGGAAGAAGCCAAGAAACAGGTACTAGGTGGTGTGCATCAAGCACTGGCACTACAGTAAATATGGGTTCAGACATCCAGCCATTTTGAGGGAAAGCTCTGACAACAGGTGAATCTCCCACCCTGATCAGCAGGAATTCAGATCGACCAGCCTGACCAGGGTCGATCTTGATGTTCACCTTGCAGTTCACAACGAGCATCGACTTCGAACATCGTGAAAAACACAACCCGCTGTGGAAGTCACACCTTTTGACCGACAGATCCAATGGTCACCTTCTTTTGGTTGGTTGGTTGGTTGGTTGGTTGGTTGGTTGGTTGGTTGGTTGGTCTCCCTGGTTGGGTACAGTAGGCTGGTTGGGCGTCTATGTCAAGGATCACCAAGCCGCTCTTCCGTTGCAAAAGGCCTGGTGTGTCATGATGCGTTATGATCCAAAAAAGAATTAGAATTAAAACAAATTGTTTCTAATAGCTTCTTGTTACTACTAATAAGGCACTTGCTACTAGAAGCGATGCACGATGCACTTGTTACTACATGTCTTCTAAGGAAACAGTGCTTCAGTTTGTTTGATCTTCTTCACGACAGCCTTTTCAAAGGCAGCGTGACCAAACGCCCATCCTCCCAGCATCCTGCTATGTCTGTCCTTTTGATGCAGAATAGGGCCTTCAGCAAATGCAGCACTCCTCACAAAACCCTGCAACCCTCAGGGTGACAAGTGACAGGGTCAAACTGGTGTTGAGGCGCGCACACACACACTTGTACTATCATGCAACCAGCATTTTTAACCCATACTCAAACAAGTTGGACACATCCCCTTGTCCACCCATTGAATTGTCAAGAACACTCTCCTCTCCAAATCCAAAATCAGCAAGTTAAAAAAGAGCACTCCCACACTCATCCACACTCCAACAAACAAACCTACAAATGCCGTCACGGTCTGTCATGCTCTGTCTGTCATCGCCCTGGTTGCACACCAACCCGGGGTGCCGTCACCTCCCCCCTCGTCGTCGCCTAGTGGCTGTCTTCAGAGTTTGGCTGGTACCGCCAAAGGCTCGCTGCATCCGATCCCGCTTCACCTCTCGGATCTTCAGGCCGCCTCCAACGGCACGTTCCGTTCCGTTCCGTTCGCGAACGCACGGACGGAGCGCACCACGTTCCCGCGGGTTCCAACCCGCGGGTTGACGTCCATGGTGGGACACGTTGCTGGAACACGTAACAGCTGGTGATACGGATCGTGGGAGTGACCAACTATGTGCATCGCTGCCTTGGGATAATTTGCCCCAATCTGCGGGTCAGGCAACAGTGATCGGTGTGATCAGTGAACCTTTTCTTTCGACCACCGCCGTGAAAAGCACTCACAAAATGGCCTGAATTCATCCCCCTCACCACCACACACACAAAAGAAAATCACAACCCCCACATACTCCCACACATCCTGAATATTTCACCCATCCTCAACCGATGACCATGCACATTGGAGGTGTCTGACTGGTCTGAGAAAGAAAGAACCAGGCCGGCAGCCGGCCCATGTTCTTGATTTGTTCAGGAGAAAGCGTCTTTCACACGTGTTTGATTTTTTCGGGACAAAAAATGCAAACATGCCCACAGAAAAGCTGTCCTCCCAGATTTCCTCCCGCCTCTCAAGGCCTTCTCCAAAGAGATCTTCACCTCCAACCTCGGCGCTTGGCCAAACCATGATTTCTGGGGAGAAAAATGTTCGTTGAAGCGCTTGATCCAGGAATTATGCACAGGTTTGGAGCGAAATGAGAACACATCCAAGAAGCGAACACCTTTTCACAGCCACAGATCACAGCAAATCTGTAGAATAAGTGTGGCTGGAAGAGCAAGTAGTTATTCCTTTCGGTCTGACCCTTCCAAACGTAATCTGCTTCTATGACCCCAAACTTGTCCCCTCCGACCATAAACCTCCTGTCCATCACAAAAACATGCTGAATATACTGCAAGAACGCCCCCAAAGCACCAATCGCAACCATTAAACTAGCAAAAAATATATAAACCTGGATCAAATCTGTGAAAAACCTCTTCATGTATACCCTACCCCACCCTTCCCTCCGAGCCACCGCAGGTCCGCGGCTTTCGGGAGCTTCGTGGCCTTCGCCTTGGCCTCGTCCGTTCCGCGGAACGGCTGCGGAAGGTCGTCCCACCGGTGGGGTGAGAGCGGTCTACCTGTCTGCCTGTCCTATACCTGATTGGTGGTAATTTGTAGGGGATGAGGGTGGCTGGATCCAGGAGGGCGCCCTTTAATTTCGAAACTTGGTGGCTTCTTAGTTGTGAAACAGAACCGCTTAGTTGCGAAAGACAAACATCTAATTGCGAAAGCCAACCGGTGGCCCAAAAGTGGCCCTGTTCCTTCTCAGGTGGAATCACTCATGGCAGCCGGACGCAGCCAATCTTTTTCCTCCACTCTTCAATGTCGTCGCTTCTGTCTTGCTGGCTCACCATCTTTCGGGTCCTGCCAACAGCTGACATGAGCTCATATTTTGGAACAGGGTGGGAACTCCACCTCAAGGATGTGAATCAGCTAGCAGGTGCTCAGAGGAGCAAAGAACCTGGGGGTGTCTGTAGCAGTCGGTAAACAATGACCACCCACTCCTCAAGGGGGCTTGGTGTGAAATCTATCTCTATTGCCAATTCATTCTTTGGCTGCCTCTTTGGTGCAGAAAACAGTGTTCTTGTGAAACATATTGTTCAACCTGATCATTGTCCTAGGGCCACTTTGGAATTTTGTGTTTCCCAAAAGTGTCTATCGTTTTTGGGGGGCCAATGACAATAAACAATGATGGCCGTTCCTTGACAACGAAACAAAAACATACACAAACCTCGACGGCATATCAAAACATGTCACAATTTCAGAGTCAATAATTGCACCGGACCATTCTGAACCCCACCGCAACAAGCTGAAATGGATGGAAGTGGTGCTGGACTTTCCAGTATCTGGGAAGCCCGTGCCAACACGGTTGTTAACTCTGCTATACAGCTTCTTTGCAAACAGTATAAAACATAAGGACGTGACTGCTAGCCAAACTGCTGCCTTTGCCTTTCGCAGCCGTCGATCAGCTTCTTTTGCTTCCTCCTGGCAAGCCAGCACGTTATCTGGGAGGCGGGGTGGTCTGCAGTTACCAAGCGTTTCCACCTTTTGCCTTTTGATTTGTGTCGGGAAGAAGTTGCAAAGACCCCGCTGGTTGTGCTTTTTGGCGCATGGAAAATGGATTCTTTAGGAGGGTCTTTGCAACTTTTTGCAAAACACAAGTCACCCTGATGTCCACTGCCTTCCTCCTGTCCAACTCCATCAAGTGCGCAGCTTGATCCTCCACCTCGAAGAACTCACGGGCTTCTTCAAACCATTCGGCAATGTCCTCGTCATGAATGGACAACTCATGCTCTGGAAAGATTTTTCGCGCAGGTAGATTCCGAATTCCAAAGAACACTCTGGAAGTGCGTTTCGGATGAAAGCAGATTGAGCAAGGTCTTTTTTTGGAATAAACAGACAGCATTGGTCCTTCGCCTCCATTCCTGACTTTGTGCTTTGGTCGCGCCGTCCTGGCCGATAGACGCGCGCTGAAGCCACGTGAACTTCTGGGCTATCTTCGGGCTGAACAGACCTGACTGGAGTTGCAAATCTAACGAAGCAGCTTGTACTCCAAGCCTCCGACTCTGAACTTTCGCTTGCGAGGGAGGGTTGGGCTGCAGGTATGGAAGGAGATCTGCACAGGTCCTTGGCAAACATCAAACGACAGGCCGGGCAGTGCTGCATGACACTACGCAGACAGAGCGCATCTCCAATGGAGGATGGAGAGCGATGAAGGCTTCGTGAAGTTCACTGGCCAAAATCGCTCCTGAGAGAGTGGCATCGTCACCTGCAAACATAATAACAGGTTTGCGGCGCAAGGAATGAACAATCAGGGGCGCTTGAAGAACAATTGGCCTTGCCTCCAGCTTTTCCTGCGACTCATCACGGTGCTTTGCTGCCGCAACATGCGCAGCGCATGGACACAGGCTGCTGCTGGTGTGAAGGGCCCAAGACTCGAACTGGAAGACCAAAGCACTGCTCTTTGGGTCGTACAAGCCCTCTGCGCACATCAACCGAAGCAAGTCATCCGGACTGTGGGATAGAGTTGCGGCGGACAGGTCAGTTCGCCACGTGCGAGTGAAACCCAAACACTGGGCAGGAAGCGTGTTAAGTTTGCACCCAAGCACCACGCTCGCCTTGGAATTGCTCACCAGGACGAATGCCGATCTGTCCAGCAAGAGGAATCATCGGAGCCGCCTGAAACAAAGCCTCCAAGCCCGCCAACGCACTTGCGACTCTGCGTCCAAAGAAAACTCCCTCAGGGTGGCCCAAGTGGAAAGCAAGGTTCGTGTACACGCCGACGTCGCCAACTTTGTTCAAAATCCACGGCTGCACCATGGGAAGTTGCACGAGCGGCGACAGGGGCCACAGCCGCAACAAACACTCCATAACCACATGAGAACAGTTCTCTTCAACGGACCCAAGCAATGCATGACACTATGCAGGAAAAAGAAAAGCTCATCTGAAAATTGTAGCGTGAGACATGGTCGTTGAAGTCTCAGGCAGCTGCCGCACCCTCTGGCAAAGCTTCCACGACAAGGTCGTCCGACTCTAGCGACTTGGTGGACCAATCGCTAGACTCCAAGAACTCACGGACAACGGTCAAAGCAACGAACGCGCAGCTGCTCTGCTGCAGTGCATTCTGGTTGAAGCGGTGGCAGTGTACTTCCGCCTCCTGCTCATGGAGGGTTGCTGGTGAAGCCCGTTGGGGACTTTTTGATACCTGAGCATTCATCAGACTAAAGCAACATAAAAGCACATATCACCACGGTCACATATCTATATACACCCAAAAGTGGCCCTGTTCCTTCTCAGGCCAAGCCGGAAAGAACGCAAGCTCTGCCATTCTCTCCTGACGTGCCCCCAAACTTCCCAAAGAGTTGCAAAGACTCTGCTGGTTGGGTTTTTTTGGTGTAACAAACATTGATTTGGGAAGGTCTTTGCAACTTTTCGAACTGTCAAAGAAGGCCTCCATCAGAATGCCTCCTGCCGGCCTTTCACCATCTTCTTTAGGGTCCTGACAGACGTGCTGACACTGTCCCGTCTCCCGTCGGTTGCGCAGCATGTGACAAAACATCGCGCAAACAAAACATCTTAAACACGCACGCAAACATCGCGCAAATGAACCCCTAAAAGTGCACGCGCACAAGTGACATGGTTTTTGCGTGTGTGGGTCTTTGTCAGTCAGATTGCAGTGAAGGCAACTGTAGACCACCTCCGACAACCATTTAACAGTGAGGTTGCGCGGTCTTCTTTTACTGCTAAAGGCTAAAGGCGTGTTGAGCCAAAGGTTCGCAGCGGTATGTACATCATTCTACTCTGTCAATCTTACGCGGGATATAGTTCTCTACTCTCGTTGCACTGCTTTTGGCAGTTTTTAAGGCCCAACACAGTTGCCAATTCCACAAGACGCCAGCAAACCTTTTCCGATGCCTAATGGCTGCGGCTGCAAGTTCCTTTCCAGATCTTCTGCGGGGACAAATGCTGCCTTCTTGTTTGGGAAGGAAATCCGGCTCTATGTCCAAAAAAGATCTGAATTGCTGCGGTACTTCGGATCTCTCCAGTTGCCGCCTCTGCTGAGCGAATCCGGCCGGCTCAGCAGGATTGACGCTCAGAATAGGCTGGCACGGGCACGGGTTGTCTTGGCCTGTGGGGAGTCACGTCGCCAAGAGGTTGCCGCTTTGGGGCTGGCGAAGGAGATGCAGAGCTGCCCCGCTTCCTCTGCTTGCGTCTCAGCTCAAAAGCTTCATGGTGCTTCGGGACCGGAAGGTTGATTTTGAACTTGGCCACTCCTTCCTTCAGCTCCACGAAGCATTGGTGAGGGCAATGCCCGCGGCGGCGGAAGTACCAGCATGTACAATGGGTTCCTGCGTTTTCTTTGCAAAGAACCGCGCAAAAGTTGCCCAGGCACGCACGATACTGTGGGGCCATGAACTTCAAGTGCCCTTCATGGTCCTCAAGGATGCCTAAATGAAGGCACAAAGCTTTCAAATCCTCAGCTTTCTTGGTCCACAACATTTTGTAGATGGCATCAGCAGTGTCTTCGGGTACTGGGCTTGGCACTCCAAATCTCATGATGTAAACACGTTGGCTCCTTGTCCTTTTGATCGCAACACAATCAGGAGTGCCCTGTATGCTGCTGATTCCCTACATTCGTCGCACCAGTCAGGATAGAGATGGGTGTGGTTTTTGAGTAGGGGAGACACCCGGAGACGGCGATGGTGGCACTGGTCCATGTTCCGAACCTTCCTTTTTTTCCAGGGGGTCGGAACGCCTGGGAGGGTCGTGGTAAAAATACACAGTCACATGCATATAGAGATTTGGGTATATGCAATTCCCATTACCACCCACGGCTTCCTCGAAAAAGAGTCATCATCTTTGACCAACTGTGGTGAGACACCCGACCGATCTATTGCTTCGGTTCTTTTCGGTGAAAAAAGGGGGGTCGCCTCAGAAACAAAACACGACGACCTCCCTTGCACCACGTGTCGCTTGTGGATCCAAAAGCCCCAAGCTTAAAAGCTGCACTCTCCACTGAGCGGACATGGGATCCCATTGAGATCGAAGCAAAATGAAAAGCAAACAAGACACTTTTGGGGGGGTCTATCCTCTGTGCCAGGTATGATGATGGTTACCCAAAGGCCTTGCTTCTCTAAAATATATCGTGATGTTCTTTACCTACCTGTTTTCAGGTCAGTTCGGACAAACCCCACGTGACCCAGTTGGAAAATGGAGGTGCTTCTCCGCCGCCCAGGTAGGATGGCCCACCCAACCGTGACGTCCAAAAAGGATGGATTTGACCGTGGTCACGTGACCACTGAGATGTTTTCAGGTCGAATCCATCAGGAACTTGGAATGCTCCATTTACTACGAATTCGTGACGATTTCTATCGTCATATGATGATGGGTGTCATGTGTTCTTTCTGACATGTAACCACTCAGAGATGTGTTCTTCCAGATCCTTGAAATCAGTGATTTCTCAAGGAACGGGGAAACCACTGAGAAGCATGTGTCAGTCTTCTTGACTGAGCCCATCAAACACTGCACCAATGTGACTCGGATATTTGGGCCGAAACGGATTGATTCGTGAGAATCCCGACAAGGCGGGCTAAGCCATTTTTTTCTGAAACGGCTATCAAAGAGCTGCTTCCAAACTCTTGCAACAGACAGTTCCATAGAATTCTGACGATCGAAAAGAAACTCTGAAGAATCGGAACACAATAGGTGTGGTTGCGTACAGGTACGCGCAAGTACGAGAATCCACGGAGACCTCTGCGTCAACATTTCTACATTTAGCCTGTACAATTCTGCACAACGCTGTCCCCAATGAAAAGAACTAGATTAACTAGGTCAAGAGCTCTGGTCACCTGGGTCTTTTCAGCTCACCGAGCAGCCAAATAGTTTTGAATCGTGCTGAGATGTTCAACACTCAATTATCCAATTCTCCGAACCACTGCATCTCCAATTCTCGAACAAGACCTGGGCCCTTGCAGGCAAGGAGCCTGCACAGCCTTGCCACCTTCTTTGGCTTCCTGAGCAGTTCTTTTCCGAGACATCAAGTGGCCCTGACTCCTGGCTTTCTGACTTGTTTGAGATTAAAGCTTAATCTCTAACTAGAGACAGACCAGAAATGTATCCACGACCTCAAAAACTACCGGACTCTCTGTCTTCCATGTTTTCGCTCATGTTACAATCAGAAAAGTTCGGGGGTCTTGAGGTGCCGAAGCATTCGCCCTTCGCCTGGACGGAGTGCCTCAGCCTTGAAACGCCTACAGTAGATCCACGTTCCAAGCAAGGTACTCTGCAGAGTAGTTCAGCCTTGATCCACGTCTACTTTCCACTCTGAAGGCAATCCAAGTATGTAACATATTTTATATACCAGCTTTTTCTTGCAAAGGACCACACGTCACGACTCTCCAGCTTCATTGAACGTCTACAGTTTCGTCCGAAGTCCGAGTCCGCACTCGGAAGTTGAGCGCAGCTGAGAGGCACCGCTCCAACGGCCCCAGAAGTTGCCATCGGTGTTGGTCTTCTGCGAGTAGAAGGAACTGTTCATGCCCTCACCAAACAAACGCCCCGCGCGGACTACACGCACGAACTGCATCGTCCACGCAGTCCGCGCGCGGCGCGGAGCCCGCATGCACCGGTGGACGTGGCTTTGAAAGCGCACCGGTCTATGTATGTGTGTGTAGGAGCCCTTGGTGGGGTCCTGCAGTCGGGGGACTCCATAGATGGAGGTGAGTAGCGTCGTGAAGATGACCAAGATGCAATTGGTCATGGTCTTGCACCCCATGTTCGATCGTCGGACATATTTCCAGCCAAAAATATAGGCCAAAGCGAGAACAATACACCAGTGCGCCTTGTTTGGGGTGTCTATTCGAGAGGCCCTCAACAAAAAGAGGCGATTTGGAGTGTCCATGAACCACTGTAAAGGAAGACTTCTGTTGCTTCCTTCCACGCGCCTTTTGGTTGTGGGTATAGCACCTCATGGCACCAGGGGACCTTCACCATCCTTGACCAAATCAAGCTACCCTACTTACCCCGGTCGTCCGAATCCCCACACCCCAGCAACTCCCACCAGACTCGCAGGAACTCCCCTCGTCTCGTCACCGTCTTCGCGCGCGCCTGAGACTTGGCTCTCGCCTCGTCGAAGCGCGCGCGGTCGTACTGCCGCCGCGTGGCGCGGTCTGACAGGATCCTCGGGCCAGTGGCACCGAAGCCGGACCCAGGGAGGAGCCGGTGGGGGTTGGGGGGGGGGTGAGAAGGCCTGTTCGGGGGTGGTGATGGTGGTACAAAGGGTCGTTTTTGGGCTGGGGGAAGGTATCCTCGGTATTTTGTGGATGAAATATGATGAAATCATACAACTGCTGGTCCAAATGTGTTTAAGGCGGAGGAGCAGGTAACCAAGGCAATGACCACAGCTCGGGGCCGTGGGAAAAAATAACCGTTCCAAGAAGAGGGGGCTGGGTTGATGTATTGCGTGGAAAATAAGCTCAGGCCAAGTGTCTCATAGGCCTCCTGGATCTTTTCGAACTCATCCTGCCAACAATTCTGCACGTCCGAGAAAAAATACGAACTTTTGGACGAGCTATTTGATCCAAGTCTTCAATGCATCTTGAAATTGCGCCCTTTGGATGTTAAAATATGCACGTCCGAGCCCAGAACGTCCAGCGACTCCACCACCACCATATGGTACAAATAGGCCGGAAAAAGGGGCTCAACTGTCGCCAGTGCTGGGTCGAACGACTTCGAACTTCACTCGTTCCCTCCCATCACCGAGACCTGTGCTGGGTCCGGTCCGAGAAAAGCAGTTGGGCAGGCAGGTTTGGCAGTGGCAGGACAGACGTGGTGTGGGGTCATCGGGCAGCAGAGACTCGGACAGACGGCTCTACGAAGGAGCACCTGGTGACCAGGAAGAGAAGCCCCACCCGTTGTCAGAGGTCTGCGGAATTGGTTTCTGGCGAGACAGGTGAACTGGAACTGCAAAAAAATGCTCAAATTTTGTCTACCTGGGAGTGGTTGAAGCCAAGGAGGGTTGGACCCTTCGCAAGATTATCTGCTGTGCATGCCAGACACTCAAACCTTCCCAAATAAATCAAAAGCATTGCAGCACGTTTGTTGTCTTTGAATGTTGACCTGAAAGCACGTCCACACCACATTTTCAGGGCCCAAACACGTGCAGGAGCTGATGGGAGCTCCCCATCAAGCTCTAAGTTATTAAGAGTCTGTCCTGCATCTCTCTGAGCTTGTCAGGCTTCTTGTCTCTGTTCTTGTCCTTATGGCGACATTTTTGGAGAGGCATAGTTCAAGGCATTCTGTAAATATGAATCAATCTTCCTCGCCCAGCAGCCACTTCCGCCGACTTCCACAGTAAGAACATTCACCAAGACTGCATGTTCTGAGGTCTGAAGTAGACAGTTCTGCGGAGTTCATCTGTCTTGTTCGTCCCAGTGCTTCTGGAGCATTCCTGTCTTTATAAGACTGCACGTTCCGTTCGTCAGTGGACCATCGGGCTTACGAACAACGGTCCAGGCGTAGGCTACCGTAGACACCGGCTGTTCTCCGACCGTCTGCCAAGCAGGTCGCGTCAAGCAGGTCCGTGGTGCCCACTCAGGTCGGAAAGACTGTACTCTTGGACTGTGTTTTTTTAACGTCGGACACTGGACGCATCGCTTTAGTTATATACATCCGACACGTTGACCGAAAAACGCGGGCCGTCAAAAAGGAAAAGGAAAGCAATGAAGTGGAGAAAAAGAAAATCGCTAGGTCGTCTGCAGAGGTCCAGCCAAACACGGTGTGCATCGTCCAGAAATTAAACAAGACATTGCCCAAAAAGAAGCAACGGTATTTATACCCTCAACAAGAACACAAAGACAGCAAAGGCCAAAAATTCAAAAGAATCAAAGAACAATATCTTTCTTTCTTTCACTAGCGCCGAGAGGTCTAGCCTGTGGCTTATGCACCTAATTAATGGGGGTTGACACTGAGGGCAGCAGCACAAAAATCTGGCCCCATCGGGGCTTCAGTATTGAAGTGCGCCACAAGATTGGCAGTCGTTTCACTGAACCAATCCGGCAGCTGCTCTCCAGTGTCATTCATTGGGATGGCTTCATGGAAAAGAGCAGCCAGAACCGAACAGAAACCACTAGGGTACTGTTTGAGAATGCTGGTTTTCCAACTTCCATCTTCGCCACGCCCAATTCGGCTGGTCGTAGGAAGGGGTGTTGTTCGTCCTTCCAAGAACAGTCGTCTGAAATCCTGACAGGGATTAGCCAACAAGAGGTCAGTCGGCTTAGGCGATAAACCGCCGTATCTACCCTGTTCTACTCGGATTTTAAAAACTGTGGTAAACTTGAGAAAAAACTGGATCACGGGAAGGCGCCAAATCGAAGGCAGGTTGCCCTCAGGCATTGCCGGGTGCTCGATAATCGCAACCGACCCGCTCAAGATCGCAATCCAGAAAAGCTTCAAGGCCACAGCTAGGAGTTGGTTTCCTGTGGAAACTTGTTGTGCTTCTCTTTTGTTGAGATTCTGCAATCCCTGTGGTCGTTCAACTGACCTCACTGGGCGCGGGCCGTCAGCGAGTGCGACGAACCGTGCGCGACTCCATGTCTCGCATGGCGGGCCTGCAAGGAAGCCAGCTAACACGCCACTCCGTAGAGCTCGGACAAAGAGTTGCATCGTTTCTGGTCTGAGTAGGTTGCCGTAGTGCGTGTCAAAGATGATATCAACAGAGATCGCCTTAAATCCGGCACGCTCAAGATGCTCCTGGAGATCTTCTGGTCGGCGCTCACCTGAGAAAAGATGCGCAACAACCCGCGGGTTGTAGCGAACAGTACGGCTGATCTGTCCAGTAAGGTCATGGAAAGCCCAAGCGACTCTCTGGAAAAATTGATTTGCGTTTTCCGCAACTGCTTCGGTCTGGCAATCACCAGAGAGAAACCATTCCAGCGACGCTTTGCTAGTATAGTGTGCAAAAACCTTCAACTCAGCAAGCTTGAGATCCTGATGCTGGAGACACCAGTTGGCTGTCCATTCTTGAAAGCACGCAATTATCTCGGCATGGTGGAGGGTGGTCGAAAGAGTCGCCAGTCTGAGCTGCTCTAACCATGTCTCCGGATGAGGTCTGCTAATGGAGACTCTGTCCCATTCTTGCTTCAATTTCTCGCAGGCCTGGTTCACTTGGATCATCATGCAGTCAGGATCAGGGCAGACTGGCCCTTCCGCCTGCATAAAAGGCTCTCGTAGCGCCTTTCTTTGGCGGTTCTCTGTTCTGCTGTTGACCCCAGGCTCAGGCTGGACTTCAAGCCCTCGGTCCTGGTAGAACTGGAGGCATCTGAGAGCTCGGCTGACATGGTTAATCAGGTCGCTATGCAACGGGTATGTCTTCAGACAGGCTTCACACGTGTTTCCACTGACATACTGTCGAGCTGGCTTCAAACGATGATGTTTCTTAAAAGAGTGGACAGAGAGGTCTGATTGCCTCTTGAAACTTTTCTTGCAGGCTAGGCAGTAGTATTGCTTACATGCATTGGTGGCCTTTGGCAATGCAAAGCCTGCTTCGAGGACTTCATGCATGATCTCAGTCTGCCATTCGAGCCATTGCATGTCAATCTCACGGCAGGATATATGGCGATGTACAGCCGTCTTGATCAGACGTTTCCATCTTGTCGGGGAAGATGTCACATAATCGACAACCAAGTCCCATCGCATTTGCAGGCCCTGCAGTCCCGCTTCTGGACAAAAGGAATCGAGCCAAGTGACATCTTTACAAAAACGTTGATACCACTCTCCATCAGCTTGCAATAAACCCCACATATGCGGTTGGCCTCCTTTGCACAATTGCAGGACATATCGAAGCCGTGCTTGACGCAAAGTGACCTCTGGCGAAGGGAGTCGAAACTGATTGAGCACCTTGTCATCACTCCAGGTCAGCGCATCGCCCCCGAAATGGAGAATGCAGACTCGTTTGTAGAGCTTCATAAAGGATGAGTGCAATTGTTGTTGCTGTCGACAATTGCGAGGCATCCAAGCAGCTGCATTAAAGGTGATGGTGCTTAAAACCATAGTCTCAAAGAGCTGTCGTTTCTTTTCAAAGGCTAGTGCTCTGTTTGAGAAAACCGGTCCTTTGTACCTCGTCACCAGGTCATGCGCAATGGCAAACTTCGTTTTGATATCCATGGATATGCCAGATCCAATCTGAATCCACGTACCCAAGTGCTTGTAGCAGCCTACCAATCGAAGTTGGTAGTCTTGGAATTGAGATGGGATGCAGATCTGTTGTTCATTATGGCACATCTCACGTCGAAGAGTTAGGCTTTTCGGTCCTCGAAGATCAAGGAGCAACTCGGTCTTCCCAGCATTAAAGTTGGGTATAAGCCCAGCTTTGAGGAGCCCATCAAAGAGTTCCCCGCTGATCTCCTTGATGAGACAGAGCAATTCATCAGATGTTGGGGCTGTGAAGGCAAATGCTATGTCATCTGCCCAGATTGGAACTAGCGGACCCAATGGATGGTGTTCTTGAGATGTTCTATATGGGCAAGCCCTGCCATCCCAGCTGATTTCAATCCCAGGATATTTCTCCCTCGCAAAATCCAAAATGGGCTTGAGCAACTGGGTAAGCGTGAAGGAGAAGCAAAGATCAGCAAAACTGTCTCCAGGTCGGCTACCTCTTTGTGACTCAACCACAATGCTGTCGCTTTTTACTTGGAACCAGGTATGCGCGTAAAATTCTTTGAACAAATCACGCAAAAAGGGCGGCGTTCGTGCCGCATCCAAGGCAGGTTCTTGCGCAAGCAAACTTTGGAACTCTTGGAAGGTATCTGGTGGCAATCCTAGCGTGCGGAAAAGCTCAGCTGCCCCTCTTCTATCTGCCTGCGGTGTGACAAGGTGTTGCCGTACAAGTCGGTAGAAAGCGTTGGTAACATCAATAAAAAGGAGACCTACAGCCCTGTTTTCTTTCACGGCCCCTCGGTGAAAGGACTGGAGCGCATGTGCAGCTTGCAAGATGCTTTGGCCTCTAAGTCCTCCGATCTGGAAAGGAAGACGTGAAGCCTCAAAGATATCGAGCAGGTCGTTCCTGTAGATCGAATGCACAGTCTTACCAATCACAGAGCTGACAAACAAAGATCTGTAGTTTTCTGGTTGGCTGGCATCTCCTTTCTTATAAACAGGAGTAAGATACCCTCCTTTAAAGAGAAGTGGCTCATGTAGGTATATGACCTGTTTGCACATCAATGTGTAGTACAGGTCAGTCATCTTCTTGGGTGCAAGCGCTAGAAGCTCTCCAGGGATTCCATCTGCGAAATAGGCTTTTCCACGCGCTGTGTCACGAAATTTCTGCTCCACCTGGTATGCAGTAGGGAGATTCTCCCATGTAGCATGGCATGTTGGTGAACGAGAAATGGCCGCCTCATGGAAAAGCTGCTCAAATGTAGTGATCTTCCCATCTTCTTGCGCAGCGAAATACTCTCTCCAGCAAGTCTTGTGCTCATCTTCCGTCTCAAGGACATGACCATCACGACCGCGTAGAAGCGGCAGGGGTTGTATTGCAGACATTTTCTTCCGCCCACCAACTCCAACCGCCCTCAGAGCTCTCATGAAGTCTCTAGGTGCTAGGTGGTATGCCTTGCTGGCCAAAGCTTCGAGCGCAATGACTCGATCGGCCTTGAGTCGTTTGGTAAGCTGTTTAGTCGTATCAGCAATTTGCCTCTGTCGCCTGACAATATCATGCAGAAGGCTGAAAGCTTCACCTGTACTAACATGAATCCTTCTCTCATACCTCCATGCTCGTAAGGCAGTTCGCATCGACAGGTGCTGGAGTTGATCTTTGAGTGTTCGGATTTTGTCCCGAAGTCTCATTCTAGTAGTTCGGATATTCCAAGTTTCATCAGAGATATAGCTGGATCGTGGTTTTGACTTCTGGATCGGAAATGCAGTCTGCAACCTCGCACAAACCTGATCCGCCAGTTGCATGGCATGGACATCTGGGTCCTCGTGCCAACTAGGGACTTGGATGTTGCTCAATACTCTTTCTACTTGCTCAGGTTCAGCCTTTAGCAGGGCGTCTCGGTCAAAGGTGTTCGAGTGCCTAACAACCTTCGTTCGAGTCAGAACAATCTTGCAGTCTAGTGAGAGTGGTGAATGATCAGCTCCCGCAAGACTTGTGTCTAGAGTATGTAGGACCTGAGTGTGTACATATGCATGTTGCCACGCAAGTGGCACAGCAAAATAATCACACCTCGCTCCTGCTCCAGTCGCATGACTACGCCATGTGGTATGGTCACCCGTATGGTGGTTTTCAAAGGTGCTAGGCAGGAAAAGTTGAAACCTCCGAAGAACCTCTAGGAAGCAAGTAGCACCATGATCAGTCCTTTTTTCAAGCCCAAAGTCACCAACATACGGGGCAGTTGCTTCTCCGAAATGCGCATTGGCATCAAAACCACAGAGAATCGGTAAGCGTCGATCATAATGAGGCTTCAAGAGCTGCATCACTTGCTGCCAGAAAACCTGGATTTTTTTCGGGCGGGTGACCACTATGTGGCGCATGCCCGGTAACAAGGAGCAGTTCAATGCCTCGGATCTTGGCACATACAACAAGCAACTCGGCATCTGCATGCATAACTCGAACATGCTGCTTTTCTGCAACAGGTTTATGCGTCTTAGGTTCTTTAGATGCAATCCAGATCTCTACTCCCCCGTGTCCTTTATTCGAGGCGCATGTGACACGTATATGGGTGCTGGAACAGACAAATTGACTGGATCGGGACCGGCTTTCTTGCAAAAAGAGCACATCCAGGTGGTGTGCACTCATCTGCTCTTTTAAGTACTGAACAAAAAAGGTGCCTTGCCTCTGACCTAACGTCGCAACATTGAAAGTAGCTGCGAACAAACGGAAAGTCTGGTTTGTCTGACTTTTAGGTGGCTCTTGCAGTAACGAAGCTGGCAATTTCTTGGCAATGTCTCGTTCTTGTCGCAGTTTAGGTAGGGCCAATCTACAACCAACGATGTCAGGAAACAAGGATTGTGCTCCACTCTGCTCAAAGTAAAGCCATAGCATCTCGATGGGAAACCGTTTCCCGAACACATAAGCAAGATAATCTGGTCTATGACCTGCCAAGAACGTGGCCTGTTGCTGATAGGCAAATTTGGCCAGACTGTCAGCAAGTTCATTGCCAAGACATCCTGTGTGGCCCCGTACATGTTGCCAGATGCAATCGGCTCCCTTTCCAAGGTATGCGTCCCACGCACGAGCAATAGCGCGCAATATGCGCAGTTGCTTGTCATGTTCAGCAATCCCCGCCTGTCCAGCAGCTGGTTGTCCTACCGAAGTAGAATCATACCTCAACGTGTGTCTCATTTCTAACCCGAAGGAAAGACACCATTCGATGGCCTTGATGAGGGCATCAGCCTCTGCACTGCGGGCATCGGCTTTCGTAGCTCCTGTCCAGCCCTCTGACATAGGATCCGTTTCAACCAATCCATAATCCAGGTCAACAATGTAGTGCTGGTCTGCGTTGCGTACAAAGACAACGAAGGCCCATGCAGCTGTTTTGTCAGCTTCCCGGGTGTTGGAACCGTCTGTATAGAGGATGACCTCCTGGTAGCGGTCCGGCCAACCAAATCCAAGCTGGTCATATTCATCTCTGAAGGCTGGGCTGAGGATGCTTCGAATTTCATTCCAGTCATGTTGCTTTGTTGGTCTCTTGCTCAGCAATTCATCCAACAATGGGGCAAGATTTGGCAGCTCAACACCGACTTGCTGGGCTTCCTCCCCTGGCACTGTTGCAGCTGGAGAGGAGGGAACATTCAAATATTTCCACAGAGAGATCTGGATCGGACTCTCAGGTTGGGAATTCTGTAGATGTGGACCAGACGGAATCATTCTCACGCCCTCACACTGCGGCCCATCGACAACAATCTCATGGGAGTTGACACAGAAGTAGTCATCCAGACATTGCAGTTTGTGGCTTAACCACCATACAGGGTTGCCAGGTGGCCGCAGGCATTCATATGGATCTCTGTGCCATGTAAGTTGTGGATGACCTGTTCCTTTTAACCAGGGCCGTCGTACTCCTTTGGGAGACCGTCCAAACTGGTGTAGATCAAGAGCAATAGGTCGACTATGATCGATCTGTACAGAAGCTGTTCCTTCAGTCAGATTGACAATGATGGTGGCAAGGCAGTGATCCCAGATTCCTTCTTCTGGTGACTTGTCAGACGAGACCGTCGATCTGTGCATGCTCACAAGGGAGGAGTGGCCTTTTATTCTGTTTGCGTGCTCTTGGGACACGTGGCGCTGTAGAAGCGTCAAGGCATCTGGGTCTATCCCCTCTTCATCGTCTTCTGGATTGTCCCAGTATGCTTGTCTCACAGGTAGGCCTCGTTCAAACTCACAGTATGCAGTCTCCCTGATGTGAATGAATGTAGCTGGCTTCATGTCAACAGTACTCAATGAAGAGGTAGGGACATCATCAACTTGAAATGAGTATCTGTCAGCTCTAGCCTGCAACATTCTTTCCCAGCCAAAACATCCGACAAAATAAACTGCTGGCTGTGGTTGGTGCATGAAGGCAATGTGCTTGCGCATGGGCTCTGAAGCAAAATCTGTTCGTACATACACTGGGACTTGCCCCGGTCGGTCACGATGCACCGCCAACAAACTGTGCATACCCTCTACGAGGGGGGTTCGGAACATCCATATTCGGAAAGACCCGGCATATGCAAGCGGCAAAAACCTCAAGAGGCAGTACACAAAGGCACGAGGATTGGCAAGGTCTTGTATGTGCACATTGGCAACTTGCTCTCGAACGATGTCCTCCGACCCAGAAACCAGGTGCAAAGCACAACGCCCTTCTCCACGATCATCACTGCATCCAGATCGGAGTTCTTCCAAGAAGGATGAAACGTCACGCTCTTGCAATGATAAGTGGACCGTGGCATCGGGACCCTTTGGGTGCAGGGCCGCCCCTGCCTGCATGAAGAATAATGCTTCAGAATCGTCTTGGTCAGGAAATGGTAGATTGAATGCTCGCACTTCTTCTACGTTGCATAGCCTATCTTCTTGATGAGGTCTAAGCCGTAGTAGAGTTCCTGTAGGTAAATTTATCGTCTGCCCTTGTAACAGCCTTTCAGGACCTCGTGGTGTGTGCCCGATTAGCTCGCACTGTTGTGTGGCAGAACACCCCCTGTCCTGGACATTCTGCAGGACGTGCTCATACATGCAGACTTCTGGGCATGCGACAATTTCCCGGCTGGCAGGTGACAACAATGTGTTTTCAAGCATAAAAAAACCGGATGGGCTCATAGAAGAGCTGTCTCTCCATCATGAGGAGGTGATAGTTGGCATCACCTTCCGGTTGCTGGGCAATTGAGATCAGCAGGAAAGGAGTGGAAATTCCATACCTCCCACTCAAGTCAGCAAATCGTTGTCCCCAGTCATCCTTCAAGCATAGTGACAACAACACTCCATGTGCAGCAGGGCTTGTACCTCTTGGTAAGGTCCAGATGCGAAAATCGTATCTGTCTCCGTGATGCACAGTCCATAAAGTCATGAGCTGGTGTCTGACGGTGTCAGTGCTGGAGAAGGAATAACTGCTACCAGGTGGCCAGGGTATAGGCCATCTCCAGACATCCTGTGGTGCCAAATGTCGAAAATCCAAGCGACGAGAGGAGGGTCGCTCTTGTTGGAGAGGTTGGCCGGTGTACATGAGGGACATTTCATCCGCTACATTGCTACTCACAGTGTCTGAGGTCGTCCTCAAAGGCTCGTTTCCTGGCGGTTGCGCCCCATAAAGGTTGCCAGCAGCGTCCACAATCACAGATAGAGGCAATGGTAGGTACAAGATAGGGTGCATTTCAACTGGAGGCAGACTGTAGGAACCCCATGAATCAAGGGTGCTAGCACCTGCAGACTCACTTGTATACGAAGTTCCTCCGTCCGGCAGTCCTTCTCTTTCAGGATGTAAAAGAACTCGGAAAAAGCTTCCTTGTCTAATTTGCACCAAAATGTTTTGCCGAAGCCTGCCTTCCATTGATTCAAAACTGACATCACCTGTCAGCGGGTAGTCTCGATGTACCCAGCATAGGATATCCATGACTCTCATAGTTTGGCTCGCTACGTAGGTCAGCAAAACATCTTGTCCTCTGCCAATGACCTGAACAAGGAAAGGGACGTCCATACCGGCAGCCTCCTCCACAAATAGCAGGGTAGGAACATTGGTATACACATCACCATGTACCGGAAAAAACCGAAGCTCCAACTTGCCACATCATTGGCGCAACCTCTCGACACCAGGTGGCAAAGTTGTGGTCAGTGCGATGCGGACGTATATAATCAATAGGACAGTATTGTGCAGAGGATGAAGTTCCACCTGAATAGTGCATGGCACATAAGACATATAGGTAGTCTTGCGTGCTGTACCATGGGCAGCCATTCCAATATTCCCATAAGTGTGCCATAGAGGCATAGTACATTGTAGCCTGATGCGGGCTACGTAGTGCAAGAGGCACTTGATTGCTGCCAGAAAGGCTCGAGCATTCTGCAGATCGTGTACTCAGAGTCACGGGCGGTGAAGACAAGGACCTTTGCATAAAGTCAACCACATCATCGATGTTTGAGGTGGCCTCTGATGGTTGGTGACTCAACACATGCTGGGCTTGCTGAGCTAGCCTTTCATGTCTGGCAGAACTGGAAGCCTCAACTATATGCGCAATCCGGGACCCTGCAATTTGCTCTGGGGTCGGAATCTGGAAACTTTCACATGGGAAAGAAGGCACTTTGAGTACCTCCAGCTGGACCAGTGAGGCAAAGGGTACCTTGACCTCTTGGTCATCATAAAAGGTTGCCTGACACATGCCATGCCTGTAAGTGACCAAACACCTGAAAGTATTACCACACATATCAAACTTGGCTTTACGAAAGAGCGCCTGCACAGTGCATGGCCGGTCACATCTTACGGCAAGGCGCTCAAGCAAAGACAAGAAGGAGTATTCAAGCACAAGCAATTGTCGAGCATGTTCTTCTATTTTGGATGGCAGCAGCACTTGCATCTGGCTGGGTAGTTCCTCAAAAGGGCGTACTACAGCCGGTTGTGGTACAACCGTCAAAGAACAATATCCAAAAATAAATGGATAGAACATGATAGAACCAAATATACAAAATATCTGCCCATCCCTCAAGGCCATGAATCCGGATGATATTGCAGGGCCAACTTCTTGTATGCACCTACGCGAAAAAAAACGCCGGTGAGCGGAGCAGTCTCAGAGATTCGACAAAGCTCGGGGTGGATGAAAGTTCTTGGTCTACACTCTACACATTCCCTAGAGCTCCAAGTTCCCCTCCTCAGAAGGTACTTGGAACCTCCAAACCCACCCCAGACACCTCAGAAGGTACTTGGAGCCCTAGGGATTTGTATTAACATAGGGAGACCTCCCAGTTTGAGCCCCTGGAAGATGCGAATTTCTCGCCGGGGCGGAAGAGACTGGATGAGAGTGGTCCGGGACAACTCTGAAAGAAGCGGCATCTGCGGCATCTGCGGCATGTGGTGGTTCTCATCAAAAGGGGCAAACCCAGTGTTACATGGAGGTGGTTGATCAGAGGCATCCAAGGATATCAGAGGCATCTCTGACGTGACCGTGACGGTGCGATGACGTTCTGAACAGGTTTCGAATCCATCCATCTGGTGAATCGAGTGAATCGCGCTGATCGACTTAGCGAGTCAAAAACACATAACTACGGATTGTCGGGACTCCCAAGCCGTTTGTCTGGAACATAAAGGTTCACCGCTGTGCTTTGTTGTTGGATTTCAGTGAAAACACATGAGAAACCAATCTGCAAAAAGGTTATAAAGGTTATCCACTGACCGGATTGTTAGGCGCTAGAAGGGGTTCAACCAAAAACATCGGGACTCCCTGAATCTTCCAAAGGCTTTTCGCAGGTTGTGCTCTTTTTCTTTGCTCCCATGGTTCAAACCCACCACACTGAGGCTGCGAGCAAACATAATGAAAGAACATGTTGGAATGAGTTCCAGTAGCAGTTCCTCACACAAACAATCAATGTCCAGTCTTCAAGTCCTTCTTTCCTCTTGGAAGCCTTCGCCTTCACGGTCCTTTTCTTCATGAACAATGCCCTGATTTTGAGGGAGTAGCCTTCTGTGAAACTAAACAGCCTAGTCCAACCAATTTCAGGGTTGATCCCTGTCAATTTGGCAGGTATCTTACTAACACTCCAAGATGAACGGATTCATCTGTCCTAACGGAGAATCGGTCGAGTCCTGCGGCAACGAACGACGAGAATCGGCTGGCCTTTGATGTCCTTCACCGAGGCGAAGTCATCAACTTCTAAGAGCTTGTAGTAGTCAGCCTGGTCACTCCCCCCCAAAATTCCATGCGCAGGCGCAATTACCGGCGGAGGCCTAGCTGCCTAGCTTACTGTTGCGTTCCTTGGGGTGGTGAACGTTCGAATATCTTTGACATGGATCATCTCGTCGCTGCTTGGTCAGCTTGGTCAGCCTGTTCAACCAAGCAGACCAAGCAGGTCGCGGCTTTCCTGAGTCGAGTGGATTTTGGTGAGTCGAAGCGACCAAAAAAAACGACTCGAAGAACGGATCAGCAACACCGCTGACAAACAAGGTCAAGGACTGGAGTTCGACCTTTTTTTCAATAATCAACCCCAAAAGAAAAACAACAACAGGCTCACAAGGAACATGGTGCAACACCTCCTTGGAAATCACCAGGTTCCAGGTTCCTGTCGCCATTGCACCGCCCCGCTACGTCGAGACCTCGCCGTGTCGCGAAAGAACGCGCGGCACCTTGGAATCGAACTTCCGGACGGGCGCCACCTGTGGAGGAATGGGCAGGGCAATGGGCGCCACCTCCCGCTGAATGGCTCGGTTCAGGACATGAAAAGGACGGGGTATGGGCAGCGTGTACCAAGCCACATGTCTGAAGAGAATTTGTGCTAAGATGGTGCCAAGGCAAGTAGTAAGCAAGCTACTTCGTAGCATCATCATGCCTGGCATCATGTCGAACACCGAGCAAAGGCTACTTCAGTATGAATAGCGAGTCGCTATCATCCTGAATCACCCACCGATTCGGACTGCTTCGATGGCCGTATTACGTATTCGATCGACGCGTGGATGGCGTGGCATGGAGGAAAAGGCCCATGGTCCCCACTTCCAAAAGACGAACTCTTTCCTTTTACAAACAGCGTTTGTGGTTTTTCTTCCCATGGCCCATGCACTTAAATTTCACGTAACCATGTCATGATGCCTTCGTCCTTCTGTGCAGCGCAGACACTGCATCTCGGCACGCCGTCGACTGGTGCAGGTTCCCGGTGCTCTCAAAAAAAACACCAGGACCATCTGTGTGAAGAAAACAGGAACAATCATGTGTCTTGGACCACAAACAAGAAAATATATATATATATATAGAAAGAAACATCACACTTACCCATCATGGGTAGGAAACATGACCCTGACCTTGACCCTCCAGTAGATGACGATGGGCGGTGCATGGTCGGCATGGCCTTTCGTCCGTCCTCTTGGCTCACGGCGCTTCGCGGTCGTAACGGCGAAAACCGGGTGACCTTAAAGTCCTCCTCATCGTTCGGGTCGTAACCCGGATCAGTTCCTGGGAGGCCCCGCAAGCTTGAAGGACACGAGGTACAAACGGTTCGTTTCTTAGGTTCTTTCAGACCGTTTTTTGGGGTGGCCCGTCATTTGATCAAGCTGTGCAAGGATCTTGTTGGAGTGACTTTGCCACACTTGACCCGGTACAGCAGGAACAGACACGTCGTCCTCCAACAGCACCAGGTGGAGGCTGGATGATGATGGATGATGTTGGAACTGCCAATGATGCAACCTATTGTGGAGGCATCATGAGCATCAGGAGCTTGTGCTGAAATCGATGTTTGGCCCAATCGGCCAAAGTGAGATCCACAAAACAGTGGTCTGTGCAGCAGTGTGGAACCAAGCGGATTCCACAAAAGCCATCGAATTGGAACAGTGGTTCTGGGGTCTTGGTGTTCTCACACCCCCAATATGATCCAACCAAATGCACATCCAACTGGATTGGATAGATCCAATCCAAATAAGCTAAGAGCTTTGAAGCTGAGCATCGCTTCCGGATGAGGTTCCGGATCTTCGTCAGCTCTTCCTCCAAAGCGAGTCGCTGAACGATATGAAATGAACAGAAGAAGGTAGTCAACGGAAGGGAATCCAAGAATCCAAGATGAGCTCAAGCAACAGGATTCTTGGACCTGGAAGACAAATGCTTTCACAGCGGCAAAGAGCAGGAAATCAGAAGGACATGTGAAATCATGTTCACATGTTTGAATATCCCACCTTTTCACCAACAACTTCAAGATCCAAACGCTTCGGCGAGTGCTTCACCGGCGCAACGTCCTCGATGTCTTGACTCTTCACCAAGGCCTTGTAGAGGCCCGTGTCCTGTCGATGCGTCGATGTGTCTCGTGTTTACCGTCCCGTCCTACGAGTCATATAAGGTGGCCATAGAAGACAACGGATAGACTCAAAAGGTTTTATCACGTTTTATCATCAAGCTTGATGTGAAATCATCTAAAAGGGTAAAGTTTACTTATCAAATTGGTGTGCATCAGTCATCGCCATCCACGTGAGGTACAACTCCTCTCCTTGCGTTCACCCTCGGTGTCCCCCTGTCAGTGGGGGACACAGGGTCGGATTAACATGGGGTATTGGTATCTCCTAAAAAAGAAACTTATGGGGGTCAGGGTCTTATTCTTCAAACCGAAAAGTTGCTCAGGTTTTCGACCAAACCCCACACGAGTTTGTGTCCAAGATTGTCGTGAATCTTTCGCGCTGATTGATCTCCCTGAGCGTCATGCACAGAGCTGTGTTGCAGGTCCTTTGAGCTGAGCCCCATACCCCATGACATGTTCCTGCCAAAACCAAAACCATCCAGAACCAAATTCTGTAGTCAGGTAGTCAGAAATGTCAGAAGTCAGCTAGTCACCGCTGGAACGGCTCTGCAAGCAACAAAGGAAGATCTAAGACACAAGAAAGCAAGGTATAGGGCCGGGTGCGAAAGTGGCAGCCTGCGTTGTTGAAAGCCGAGATGAATTTTGGGTTGATGACCATGGCTGACCATGGTATGAAAACTGACAAGAAAATATAAGAAAATCAAGAATTCCCAAGGGCCACGAAAGGAGCACCATGCCACAAACAAGAGACCCATGGCGTCCCGCGTGTTTTTTTGCGCGAACAAAACGCCATCTTTTAACGCGCGCCGTCGCGTTTGGTCCGCTTCAGAACACCGTCCGCCCCGCGCCGTCGACGCACAAATCGGCGAACAACAACGGGTCAGATCGCTCCACTCGTCGAGGCACCAGTCCTCCCACTTCACTTTGGGCCCCGTGTAGCAGTCCAAGTAGTCATTCCTGGGCTTCGGCCGCTCCTTCGCCTGGGTTGCTCGTGGATGCGCCAGGCTTTGTGCACCCTTCTTCGGTCCAAAAAGTCCGACGTCCACGTTGAGTCGAAAGAGAATGAAAGAGAAACACCAGGTTGTGTACGTATACCGTAGATGTGATGTGCTTGTCGTTTTGGAGGCAAGGAATGTACCTTTTAGCTGAACCTGAAGAAACAGCTCGCATCTCGGTGCATTTTTTAGGTCGTCTTTCACTTGATGCCCAGATCACCAACCACTTAAGTCAGATCAGCTTGCTGGCCAAAATGGCTGGCGATACCCACAACAGCCCGACACCAGCGACCGTCACCGCGTGCGTCGCGCGATCGCTCACGCGGTCGATCGCTCGCGCGTGATCTCGCTCGCGGGAGATGGAGAGACGTGACCCAGTGGCTGTCTGGCCTTCGAAGAAGGATGATCTAAATATTGCTTAACATATACATTACCTCATATTACCTATTGCCCATCAATGCAGCGGCTCAGAGTTTGCTAGCAAGGAAAACGCTGAAACAAATGAACAACTCGCCTGCACAGGCTCTGCGCGCATGTCCACGCATGTCCCATCAGTGAAACCCCCATGCAGTGGAGTCACCAGTTGGGCCTCTTCCTGGCCAGGGAATGCCGATGCATGGTTTTGACAGTAGCTGCACTTCCGGGACACAATCACCATCCACCAAATACACGCATGGTTCCTTCAATCTAGGGGCTGAATCGCACCAATTCAGTTGTCAAAGCTCCAATTATGATTGTTGGTGCTAGTCCTGTCCAAGTACCAATTATTATGCAAGGGGGGCCTCTCTTGGCATGCGCTACAGTGGCTACAGTCGGATCGACCAGACGGACAGGAACTGCAGCAGTTCCTGTGTTTGAGGCACCCGAGTTCCACGGCTCACAGTGAGCAAAGACTGACCCATGCAGCCCGTTGAGTTTGTGGATGTGGAGGTGGCTAGCAGCTGCGCCGCTGCCCGACCCTCTTCCTTCCTCAAAACAAATGATGTCCAATATGAGTTTTTGTCGCATGTTCACAAGTGCTAATTACAGCACGGACTGGAGGGAAGCTTTTATCAATCAAGACTCTACATCTACAGATGAATCTCTGTCTCAAAGATGATGCTAGACCGGTGAGACCCCCTTATTGAATGCTTGACAACAGAGTGAGGGCGTTTTGGCCGTCTCACTTCGTTTAAAGAACCGTCCGCGGTCCGCGTCAGCGGAAGAGTGGAGTGAGCAGACTGTGGAACCTTCGGAAGCATTTGTGGATCGGCGACCTATTGAATCTATTGAAACTGCATGGGCGAGATTCGAAAAACAATAGGAAGCCGGATGCGAGAGCTGCCAATACCGCCGAACAGGTTCATCTGAGCCCTGGATGTCACTGTGTTTGGAAGTTCCCTCTACAAAAAGACGGGAAACTAAGCAAACTCTGAGGTTGAAGTGACTGCATTTGCGACCCAGTGGAGGATGTTTTTTTTTGCATGTGTTTGCCTCTCGGGATGGATGAGGTTCAAGGACCAGCGGCACCCTCGAGCCTTTAATCAATGTAAGCCCGAAATCCCCAGAAAGCTTTGCCAAATGCTTTCGATGATTAGAACAACAGGAGGGATCAAGGAAGTTCTTCTACATCAGCATGTTTCAATAGAACTACACCATCCTATAGTATATCATTAATAGCATGAACATTTACAATTTACACGGTGTTTTCTACCCAAAAGGCCCTATATACCCGAATCTCATCCCATCTGCCTGGCTGCCAGCCTTTGTTTCAACGCGGGTCCGTCGGCATCCAAAAGACCAGGGCGCGAGGATCGCAAGCATCGCTGGCCGATTGGGGTGAAACGACATCCGATGGTGTGTTCTTCACATCTGAGTTTGGAACGTTGAGTTCCGAAGTTTGGATCTTACAAACTCAACGGTCCAAACTGGGTTTGGGAGGACTTAGTGTGTTTTGAAAACAGGAGTGTCCTACAAATGATAGGAAAACAGCCCCAACAAAATATTGGCCAACCGTCTTTGGGAGGACTTAGTCTTTTTGCGGACACTCGCGAAACTTGGACAATTTCACAACAGCTGGGCTTTTGAAAGATAGCAAAAACCTAAAAATATACTGCCATACACGTCCAAAAAACCTAAAAAAGATACACTCCCCAATCCACTCCCGTTTGGATCGGTCGGAACCTTCCGACGCCTCGGTCGGGCCACCCTCGTCCACTCGGGGGCCATGCCGTGGCCCGAAATAGGAAGGTCCCATGGTGCGACGGTGTGAGACTTGGGAGGTGTTTTGAGGGGGGGAGGTGGGTGGAATCTGGGTGAAAGGAAACATGTAGGATGTAGGATCATGTTGGCGTGCCTTCCTTTTTCCAAGCTCCTCTCAATGGAATCTACTCAGGCCAATCTACTGAGGTTCAGCAGTGCATCGCGCTGGATCTTGCTGGAAGCTTGGCTGAGGAGCTGAACCCTTTGGCTTGGAAGAGTTCCACTTTTTTGGAAAGGTTTTTGGGGTGAGGGTGGAGTTAAAACGGACTAAACAAAACGCTTGATTGAACACCCATGGCATTCACATCATCGTTCCATGTCCCGAGTCCCAACTTAGTATACAATCTTGCTGGATCCTCCATGCTCAAGTTAAGTTGGTCCTTTCTGTCAGAAACGGCTAGCAACAGCTTGTGTCAGACACACCCATCAGGCAACAAGCTGCTTTGGCTTTCTACGAACATTCCACTGAAACCAGTCAGTCTGGATAAACCGACTGGCTCCGAGATCCCAGATATTGGTCTAATCTAGCTACGAGAAAACCTCAGAAGTTTCATAAAACTCCTGAGTTCACGATCCCCCGTGGTCATCCTCCATGATATCCTCCAACTCCTGCTGGCGCGGCTTCTGCAAATGATTGGCCGTAAAGGAGGTCAAATGCATCCAAAAGCCTCGCCAAATGCATCGAGAGCAGTGTGGGATCGAGGGCAGCCCAACGCTCCTCTCAGCTCTCCATCCACTTACGGAGCCGAGCTCGGAGCTTTTTGGGCAAATTGAGCCTGAGGGTGTTGGTCCAAGAAATGTTTCTGTTGCAAAAACACAGCGAAAACCTGATCCAACTGCGGTGAGTGATCCATGTCTCCTTTGGTTACTGGGTGCAGGAGGTGCAACCATGTGTAAGCAAGTGCAACCAGGTGCAACGATAGGGTATTCACTTGTGCATCCCTTAGATCCAAGCCATCATTTCGCCCCTCCTACACTGAGGCTTTTGGGTGAAATCTCTACCATCTCTACCTCATCCACCCCAGGTTGACTCATCCCCTCCCCTTTCCACCAGGCTCGATCAAAAAATGCACCGCGAAACACCCATCCCCACCCATCATTGTCAGAGTGACGTACCGGCTGTCCCACTTCAATGGTGGGATCCGCCACGGAGATCGACGCGCTCTTGGCACAGAGGTAGCTCCGGGATTCACCAGGTAAGCGGAACAGCATAGGCTTCCGGAAGTAGCAGGCCTCGCGTTCCTGACTCGGGCCGAAGCAACGATCCCGGATGAGGTGAAGATTGAGCGATCCAACAAAACATCCCATCCAGAATACCCGTTTGGAGCTATTGTTAGACACCCCTTCGGGCAGGTAGACGATCTAGTTTCCATCTTTGCGGCGACTGAGTTTCCGCCAAACATGTCTACCAAACATGCCTTTTTGGACCAACATTGGAAGGATGCAACTGTTTGCGATGCCAGGCCTTTAGTTGAGGGCTAGCCCAGGGCCCTCTTACAAGTAGAGGTCTCATGGTGGACTTGTCGGAGGGTGCGACGTGGAAGGTCTGCGCTGTTTCGCGATGCATCTGGCAATGGAGTGGGTTGGGAGGCTTGGGAGGCTTGGGAGTGGAGCATGTGAAGTGGCAGCGGGTGCCGTCCCATAGCCACAGTGACTCGAGGGATTGAGTAGTGTTCATTCATTCCCTAAATTTAGAGCCAAACTGATGGAGAGTCGCACGGGGCAGAGGATTCTGAAGAAAAACAACGTTCCCTTTTTTTTTGCTGCAGTGGGTGGCGAGGAAGAAACAAATCTCAGACACCCACACATAAAAATGGACCCCTACTTGCCCATCATCTCTTTGCCATCTAAAAACCCACTGCTGTTAACTGCTCACCACCCGGCCGCCACCCATGGGCCGGGTCAGCTCGGGTCCCTGGCGGTCCCTGGGTCATCCGGACGTCGACATCGTTCGACTTAGCTGGGTGGCGTGTTCGGGTGGGAGCCGCAGCACGAAGTTCAGCATGCCTTCCAAACGACTGGCAACCGTTGCTCTGCAAAACATTGCGTGGTCCGGGTCCTTCAAAGGTTCCAATAGGAACACACATCCACCCTCTACTACTTGTAAGTCGCGAAACACGTGGTTTCCGGGTGCCATCTCTTCCAAAAACCCCACAAACCAATAATGATCAATAATGCGGAATTGCTGGTTTCCCCCAAAAACGCCACACCACTTTGGCCCGCGATCTTTCAGCTGATTCGAAGTCCCAAAAAATCTTCGAGACCCACAACAAGTCGACCGCACATCACAACCCACACATGACGGCGCAAATACGTGCTGTTTTCGGCGCAGAAAAAGACACGCTCCTCCCGCAGCGCGGCGCGGATCACGCCCAAACGCCCAAACGCCGCGGCTTCACGTCCCGCGCGGGCCTTCGATGCGGTCCCAATCCGTGGGGCGGATAAAGCGGCGCAGGGTGGGCATCCCCGACTCAATGGTGGCGGCCATGGATTGACGACAAAACCTCAGATGAGCCTCCTCGATGTCCAACAAGCCTCAGGCGCGTTCGTCATTTGGGATTTCAGGTTGGGTCTCCTTCGGGTGGTTCGTAAGAGCGCGGGTTCGTGCTGTGCGTGTGTTTTTTCAGATTTCGGAGTCAGAAAAAAGTGATTGCGGGCCCCAAGAACTGCGCAAAAGAAGCTGGTGGGTCAGTCTCAACCGGGAGCATACGCTCATACGCTCACACGCCATGCCAGACGTTCGACCTACTTGTCCCTACTGTCCACTCGATGGGAGGCTACAATGCGTTAGTGTGGCTGCTGTACTGCGCAATGGTCCCCTGCGCTAGGTGGGGTGGGTGGGGGGATAATAACGTTCGCTTTTGATCTGTTCTCGATCCGTGTCATTTTTGCCTCAGAGCTGAGTTTAGGTTAAGGAGGCAAGAGTTTAGGACGAATGAGATGTGAACGGGGATGTCACGTCACTGAGATGTGAGGTCAACATGGACATGGGACTGCACATGTTCTCAACATCTCTTAGTGCAGTGACACATGGGCCAGACGGTCCTCAGGTGATTCTTGGGGGCGTACATGCTAGAAGATGTACCGGAGAAAGATGTCCTGAATGCTAGAGCAAAGTAGTTTCCGGGTTTTCAGAACCACTTTTCCTGACATGAGAGGCAGTGGCCAGGAGGTTCCTCATCTGAACGCCAATGTAATTACCAAAAACTGTGTGCTTCCTACTGTCAAAACCCGTGGAAGATAAACACGTGGACCATGATACCTGTGCCTCAGACACGGCGTCATATCTGCCGTGGACCTAGCAAATAAGTTCGGCCCAGAAAGTTTGGACAAACAAAAATGTTTCATGGAATCAATAGCACTTCTTCCGCTGCGCTCCAGGAGGTGCAATGCTTGAGGAGTGCCATCGTCTTGTTTTGCTAATAGTTGTGTTGTGTCTTGAGAATCAAATCATTACATTGCTACAACATGGTCAGTACACACTGCAAGAAGCTCTAGCAGCACCTGTCTTCCACACCCGCCACATACCAAGTCTTGTGATTGCGCAGCCTGCCGGAAACCGGCCTTTGGCTAATCGAACCATCGGCAAGCCGATGAAAACTGAGTATACTGGCCAACATCTTTTTGCGTGGAGTATAATCACCAATTTGTAAACATGTTATACAACCCTACTACTGCAAGATGCCTGTGGGTTTTGGAGTCTGTTTTGGTTTCGGAGTCTGATTCCAAGAATTTTGATATGTTGGAGATACCGAAGGGCTGCGTATTTATTATTGGATGTTTTTTCGTTCTATTTTTACTGTTTTTGTTTTTCGTGTTTCGTGGCGGGTGCAGTACTTTGTGGACCTTCAAGTGCAGATTTCGTGGCAGGTGCAGGACTTTGTGGATGTTGGAGTGCAGATTTCGTGGCAGGTGCAGGACTTTGTGGATGTTGAAGTGCAGATTTCGTGGCAGGTGCAGGACTTTGCAGGCCTTGGAGTGCAGATTTCGTGGCAGGCGGCAGGCGCAGGACTTTGTGGAGGTTGAAGTGCAGATGTCGTGGCAGGTGCAGTACTTTGCGGGCCTTGAATTGCAGATTTCGTGGCACCTGCACTACTTTGTGGGTCTTGAAATTTTTGTTTGGGATTCTTTTTGGTTGTTCGTGCTTCGTGGCAGGCGCAGTACTTTGTGGACCTTGAAGTGCAGATTTCGTGGCAGGTGCAGCACTTTGTGGATGTTAAGTGCAGTTATCGAGGCAGGTGCAGTTCTTTGTGGATGTTGAAGTGCAGATTTCGTGGCAGGTGCAGGACTTTGTGGGCCTTGGAGTACAGATTTCGTGGCAGGCACAGTACTTTGTGGACCTTGAAGTGTAGATTTCGTGGCAGGTGCTAGATGGCTAGATAGGTATACAAATAGAAAGATAGACAGATAAGTGGATCGATAGATACAGAGATAGATAAGAAACAAAAATCAAAAGACAGAAAGAAAGAAAGAAAGAGTGCACCTTAAAATATTGATTTCGTGCCAGGCGCGGGTGTCGGAGATGAAGTGCAGATTTCGAAGCGCGGGGGGGGTTGGGGGGGGCGCTGCGCCCCCCCCAGCAGCACACCAGATCCAAAGTTGAGCAGCTCGTGCTTGCTTGCTTGCTTGCTTGCTTGCTTCCTTCCTTCCTTCCTTCCTTGTTTGGTTTCTTGTCTGCAAAGCAAACAAGAAAGAAAGAAAGAAGGAAAGAAAGAGAGAGAGAGAGAGATAGATAGGTAGGTAGGTAGATAGATAGATCGATAGACAGATAGCCAAGAAAGCCAAAAGCCACAGAAGCCACGAAAGCCACCAAAGCCAAAAGCCACAAAAGCCACAGAAGCCAGGAAAGCCACAGAAGCCAGAAGCCACGAAAAAAATAAAACAAAATATAAACAAACAAATCAAAAAAAAATACACCTCCATACCGAAGGAATGATGAAATGTTCACATACACCTGCAGTGAAACGTGTATCCGTTCTGGGGTTCGTGAGTTCATCGCTACAAGTCCTAAAAGCTATCTTCTCTTCACATATCCCAAAAGACACAGGAACTCTTGGCCTAAAGACACCACCAAATCCTTCACCCCAAACTCCACGAACCCTCGCAGGCAGCTACGCCTCCCATCCCAAGTACTACTCACCGTCCCACCATGCCACTCTCCGGTCTCCGGTACCCCAAAGCAACACCGCTCCTTCCGGACGTCCCGAAAGGGGACCGACACCGTCCAAGGCTCCGGTGGCATTGCTCACCAGCAAGGTGATCTCATCAAGCTCATCGTAGGCCTCCACCACCTCACTCACGCTGCTCCGGCTCCTGGAACAAGTGCTGAGCCTATTGAGGCCCCCCAATGGTCACCACCTAGAACACTCAACCCAAAAGTGAACACTGCACTGGCCCCACCACCCCGTCAGCGTCCCACCTCACGCCACCCGCGCGGGTCCTGGAGGCGGGACCTGTCTCCTGCAACCGCACCGAGGGCACTGAGCCCGGCAGCGCGTCCGGCACTGCGTTGGCCCGGCCTTCGGAGTCTGGGTCCTCCTTCCTCGGACGGGTAGAGGGGTGTGGAAGGGACGGAAAGGGAGGGGTGGGTGAAGGGGGGGGTGGTTTGTGTGTTCTAGAAGTTCTCTGGAGTGGAGTGGAGACGGGTTCCAAGGGTTGGAGTGTTCTTTCGGCCATCGAACGGTAGGTTAGTGGTAAGAGGTACTGTTATGAAGTAGCTCAGAGGCTCGATCGGTGGTCTGTGATCTCTATAGCTGGCATCTGATCTCGGTGTTCAGACGCCTTTCCGGTCAACGTGTGACGTGTGGTGTGGGGCCCGACCTGCACCCTGTCTTTAGACCAAGACACATCGCCAGCAAGCAGCAGTCCTTCCTGGCAGCACCATAATCAGGCAACATGGTCTGGAATAGATCCTCGGGTTTCAGGAGTGGCCATGATCAGCCCGGGCTCCACTATCCCCAGCCGGAGGTGGATCCGATGGATTTGATGGATCCGGCCACTGCCAGCAGTGATACAAAACATGCCTAAAGCAGGTGGTGTCGGATCCAATAGTATCTAGAAAAGGCGGGGCAGGAGTGCTGTGATAGATTTCTGCACTGTACCACAAACCCTCCCACATGTCTGGGAACAGAACAGGGTGCGCATATTCTCTTGGGAATTCGAGCAGAAGTCTGCTGAGAACCACTTTCAGTGAACGAACTGGAGAATGCAGAATCGAAGGCTCCCACAGACAGGTCGACCCCTACAACAAAGCAAAACCAACGGCCAAACCACGACGGTCTCACAAAAAGTAATTACGTAGCGGGTCTGCAAAGTGATCCTTCGTGAGACCGTGGTCTGCATCTCTGTGTTTTTTCGTTTCGACGTGTTTGTGGAGGCAATCATATGACCTTCTACCAGCGCCAAGACAGTTCGGGGTCACCTGGCTGGTTTCGCCCCTGGGCCCCTACATAGGGATCTCCATTTCACACCCCTTTGAAGGTCCAGGCCTTCACTCTCCAACACTCTTGTCTTTTGTGGAAGTGACTAGGAGTGATTCCTGAGCGCCCTTGCACCAGGGGGGGTCCCGTGGGAGGGATTCTCTGCAGCACCTGAGTTGAGAGTGAGAGTTCCTGTCTGCTTTCAGGAACTCTGGGCTTTCAATTTGACGTTTGACGTTTGTGTCATGACTCCAACAGCTTTCCATCCGTAGAATGCCATGGCTTTAATGGCAGAGCATATCATTCTGGGTCAGAAAAGCCCTGCAATCCCTGGAACAATCATGGAGCGGAAAATTGCCCGTTGGATGACCATTTCCCTCTACAAACAGGTGGTCTTCCACTTTCGTAATCATTTCAGGGATTATAAAATCTTTGCTACACGAACCCCTCCTATGCAAAGTTCAAAACTCAACACAGCAGGGTCCAAGGATGCTTAGGGTGGTTTATCATACAATCTCCTAACATTTGAAGGATCACATTGAATCACAAGTCATTTCAACGCACAAAAATACACGCAATTACACACCTCACTTTAGAGCCACTCCTCACTTCCGCTCCAAGGTTCCAAGGACACCGGCCCATTCTTCCCCTGCAGCGTCACCCTCAGCCCCCTGGGCATCCGGTTTGGCACCCCGGTCGACATCGACGTGGACAGCGAGCAGGTGGAGGACGCCGAGCTCGTCGACGTCGACGTCATCGACTTGCCGGCCGTGGGCGGCGCCGTCGGTGCCGCGAGCGGTGCCGGCGCGAGGGGGCTGTCGGCTTGGAGGAACTGCCGGAAGCGCTCCCGGCTTTCTTCCTGGGGTCGCAGAAGAAAGAGAAAGGGGCGGAGATAGGGAGGTGTGCGTCCCGAAGAGGAGGACTCAGGAGGATGCACTAGTTTCTAGCCAGGTCTTTTTGGGGAGGCAGGCTTGTTCTGAGATACACTGACACTCACATGCACACACACACACACACTGGGAAAGGGTGGTGAGCACAGGAGCATTTGAAAGGTGAGGTAATCCAGAACCTCCTAAGTTCACTGCCTGAAGTTGCAGATGCAGGTGGCAACACCGTCAAAGTGTGATCAATTTTGTCTGGTTATGTACACATGGAGAGGTTCTGGGCTTGGCCTCTTACCATATCAGAAACTGACAATCGCAGGGACATGGTCCCTGATTGTACGCCATGTCCCCCTGCTGGTGTTCCTTGAAAACTTTCCGCTTGTGATATATACAGTAGCGGTTTAAGTTTACACACACACACACACCTGCACCACTTGTGTTACATGGAGAGGCACCCTGAGCGAGTGCAGTTGTGAGAAGTGTTAGAGATTTCCCTGTCGTTGGGCCAATTGTCGGGCACATTGCATGTTACATGCATGTTACATGATGGGGTTCTGTTGGAAGGTGGATTTAGTTCGTGAGTGTCGGTAGCTATATACATGGAAACAAACGCCAACTCACTTCGTGCTGTGCATTGGAGACCTCAAATTGACGACAGATTCGCCAACAGCACGCACGCGCCTTCGTGTTCCCAACGGTCGTGCTTTTCCATCCACCCCTGACGGAAAGAGAGGACACTGTGAAGCGCCTTCGACCTCAGTCCCTCCTTGCCTTCGACTTATCCAGGATTGCCTGCAGCATAAAGAGCACCGCAACACACCCTGCTGCAGCGTCCATGCTTTTGAATCCAAGCGGCGTCCAAGAAAAGATCCAGGAAGTTGCTATCACTCAGCCTGAGATGGTTCAGGATGTAGCTGCGAGTCAAAACTAGGATACCTTGCTTACTGGTTGACCTACCTGGTGTCGGTCGTTCGCGGCAAATGGTGGACTGGTCGGGCTCCAGGCTTTGACCCATCTGCATGGTTCGGGCACCTACGGATCTGGCACGGAGCGGCTAGGAAGAGCGCCTTGAGGCGCTCGAGATCGCCACGAGCGGGACGAGAAGGTTAGAGCGTGGCCCAGCAAGATCCCACACAAAGGTTCCTGGAGAAGAGAACTAAAGCTTCAAGGACTGAGTTGGACCCTGAAAACCACTGGTTGGTAGAGGAAAACAATCTTCCAGGGGGCCAGGACGTCAGGGGTCTATATATTAGTTTTTGGGAGTGTAAAGCTCCAAGGACTGAGGTTGGACCCTACACACCCCGAAAAGCTGCGGTCGCTCGTTGGAGTTCGAAAGCATGTCCATTTCGGGGCCCGTATCTCACCCAGTTCTTCAATCAAATGACCTTGGGGCCATACATGACCTTGGGGCGCTCTCTCAAAATGGAGCCTCCAAAAAGTCACCAGGTCCCACTCTAATTCTCATGTCCTCTCCTGGCAGATGGTTCATCGGGCTTGCTCCTGGATTCCATGCATTTCCTGCTGCTCCCCTGGAGCGCCCGGACGGATTCTGCCCAAGCAGCTTGCGATTGGACTTCAAAAGCCGCTCTAAATGACTGGCATCGTCGATGATGGTACAATCCTCTCGGTCCAAGACCAGTGCACCTCGTGCAAACACAAACCGGCCGACCAAACACATCGCCGATGGTCGCCAAGTCGATCCCGACTCCACCTCCCGAGTCGATAAATGTCAGTGGAGTCGGTGTTTGCGATTGAGTGGGTTGCGAATGGAACAGTCACATGTATTGCACATGATGGCCTGGCCTTGCGTGTGGATCTCCCATCTTGTACAACCTCCAGGACACCAAAAGCCGTCACATCCAGGACACCAAAAAGCCATGTTGGAGCGGTTTTCCAAGTGCTTTTGAGATCAAAGACCACTGGGGTCCAATGGTGGGTACTTTGAGATGTCAAGAAGTCTTGGGCCGAAGGTTGAAATAGGTTTGAAGAACGAAATATGCAGGTCCAATGATGTCCGTACCCTGTACAACCTGGCCCTTTACCTCATTGAGTATGATTATAATCAGCTATAGAGCAAATTGACCTGTAGGGATCGTATGACCATATCAGAGCCAGCAACTTTACCAGGGTCCACAGAACACCACTTGGCTGGAAACCCAGGAAGCCACACAAGCCGGTTCTTTGGCATTTGATAGGCTGAGATGCAGGTGTCCATCGCCCAGCAAGCAGTATTTCCCCCCCAAAGCTCGTTTAGACTTCCATCTCATGCAGAGATGTCCTTTCCCAGGGACTCGGCACCTGCGTCACGCGGGGTAATGCAGGCAAGTTGCCATCGCAAACTCCTTGCAGCACTTGACCTGTCAACATGTGAAACGGCAAAGAAAGCTACACTCCTAAGAAACATCATGGAAGTGGAGTTCACCCCTGTTTGTATAAAGAGGAAAATGGTCATCCAAGGGACCTTGCCATCCACTTCTAGGCAATTTAAGGAACCATATCCCCTCCTGCTAGCAGCGATCCAACAGCACGTAATCCAGAACAAAACACACGACCTCAGCTCAAGAGCCGCCAACCTCCTGGCAGAGTCATCTGGACATCAGGCATCAAGCTACTTTCAATCCTGAACTCAAAATACCAAATGAATAATATCAAATCCAAATATTCCAAATCACTCATTAGATCATCCCTGACTTCCGCATCCCACTGGTTTTTCCCAGAACCCTTCCAACCCACCAAACCCCAGTTTTCCAAAGAAAGAAACGATAACGACAGCCAAACCCTGTTGCGCCGGCCGAGGCGCGAAAGCCTTGCATCTGCGAGGAGACGTCTCCGACCTCCAGCTTCGTACGGAGATTGGACCGGATGATATGGTCCACACAGAGGATGCTGGCCACCACCACGATGTGCGAGGCCACCTCGCTACTTCGGAGAGGTTCGGATCCTTTGGTGCTTCTTGAAACCGACACGGTATGACACAAAAAAAGTATCCACATGGGGATGTCGGAGATCCGGCGTCGTTTTTCCCTAATTACTTACTTGTGTGACGCATTATGTGCAGTTTGCCATCAAACGTCATCAAACATATCAAACAAAATCAGCAATTGTCAAGTTCCTTCACCAGACATGTGGTTGCGCATGATACGTTCTTCTTAACGAGCCAACTACCTTGAATCATCTTCCGCACTCAGCACGCGCCACCTGAGGAGCTTTCCGAAAGCTCAGAGTCGCCGGCCGCCGAAAGCTTTCTCAGCACGGGGTCCGAGTGGCTGTGTTGTACATGGCCATGGGAGTTGAACATGGTGGGTGAAGCCAGAAATGCAGTGTCGCGTCCAAGATGTAGAGCGGCACCTCACACAACACCCGGTTCCGCTGCTGCTTACTTTTGGGCCAGCTTTGGAAGGAGGAGACAGAACGAATTAGCAAGAGCTTAGGGAACTGTAGCTTCTTGGCTCTTATCGCTCCCTCCTGACCACCAAGTAGAATAAGTGCAGTTGATGAGGGTTCAGTGTGTCGGGCTGCACGGACTGCGCAAGATTGGAAGGCTGAGACCACACATCAATTGGCCAGTGCCAGGTTTCTTTGACCAATGAGGCTGAAGCACCAGTAAGGTGCCATAGGATGCCCGTATACTGCCCTTCCTTTCGGTTGTACACCTTCCACCAAGATGGTCTTCCACGGTGAACATCAAAATCGGTGACGCATTTGGCCCGTTCCCATGTTCCCATGTGACCCGTTCGGTGCGGATCAGTGATGTGACCTGCTGTTCACGTGCTGAAACCTCCACTGAAATCCTCTCTGGACGTGGATGAGAAAATCGCCCATGACCAGCTCTCCATGACCAGCCATTCCGAAGACCTAACAGGTGGTACCATCACTCCACGAAAGCATGATTGTTTTCAGGGAGTGCCATGGGCTGGGTTAAAAAAAACAGTGACTTCAGCGTCTTCGGTGGAACCTAAAAGCCCAAAACCCAACACCCGTCTTCATCAGTGACAAAACCATGATCCAAGAAGAGTGCGCTTCACCTAACTATATGGTCCATAGACTTCTAGAAGTTCCCACTTGGGTTCCCACATTGGGCTTCCAATGCAGCGTTTGGGCACCATCAGTGGAGCGTCCACAAAGTTGATGGCGATGAGGACGGTAAACATCACCTGATCAACTCGCGAGTGGCGCCCAAGATCCGTGGCCAGCGCGATTGTGACCGATGGGCGACTGGGGCGAAAAAGAAACCATCGCAAGGGAAAACCATGGCTCCCACAACGAATCTCCTCCAGTCGCACGTCCAAGAAAGTGTTTGGTCCAAGTGGTGCTTTTGCGTGTTACTTTTATCGAAAAACGCAACATAGAAAAGCAGATCGTCTGAGGCATGTTCAGAATCTTCCGAAGCACGTTCAGATCGTCTGAGGCATTTTTGTTCGATCGTTCAGAATGACTCGAAACCGCCGACCGTTTTTGCGCCGTTGGAAACCGACCAGTCGGTTCGGGAAACCGATGGACCAACGAGGGGAAAAAAATACGTTGGTTGGTCCATCTCATCCAAGGCCAATCACCATCATCACCCTGTTGGTACACAATGACCCTGATGTTTTTCCATCACCCTGATGTTCTTCCATCGTAGTCTTTGAGGGACGAACTCTTGTTGGTTCCTTTTGAACCACATGACCCTTTGGTACCAAGACCCATCTCCACGGCCGTCAACCCTGTGCCAGCTGCATCTTGTCCCAATCATGCGGACCCAAACACCCAGAGAGTCTCCATGTTGGTATCTTGGCCAAAGGAGGCGGCGAAGTGGAACAAAAAGTGGATGCACAAGCCTCGACAAAAGGCAAAGGCTCACACACACACAAAGCAAAACGCTTTGTAAAGACTAAAAAACATGCTATCGCCACAGTTTCGTGTTGCGTGATTTACTATGTTGCGTTTGGACCTGAGAGTTCGAACGAGTCTCGGTGCGTTGAAAGAACTCGGTGCCGGGTGATGGTCGGATCGGTCACCAGGATCGGTCACCAAGGTGGTCGGATCGGTCGCCACGGATCGGTGACCGCAAATCGTCGGATCAGTCACCGGAAATGCCGGATCGGTGACCAAGTTCAACGGATCGGTCGCTCGGTCGCCAGGATCGATCACCAAAGGTATAGCGAAAGAAAATGAAACAAACTAAGCCGACCATACCGGATCGGTCGCCACTAACCAGTTTGCAAACCTGTATGCTGGACTTCAATGTCTGCCCAACGAAAGCACTATCTACGTCACCCGCATGCTCCTACCCGGGCTGCCCACGCATGGCGAAACAAACCAACCACACCGGATCGGTCGCCAGGATCGGTCACCAGAGAGGTCTAGCGAAGGAAAGAAAAACAAACCAAACCAACCATACCGGATCGGTCACCAGGATCGGTCACCACGGAAGTCTAGCGAAGGCAAGGAAAAACAAACCAAATCAACCATACCGGATCGGACACCAGGATCGATCACCAGACAGGTATAGCGAAGGAAAGCAAAACCAACCATAGCGGATCGGTCGCCAGGATCGGTCACCAGACAGCTCTAGCGAAGGACCGGAAAACAATCCAAACCAACCATACTGGATCGGTCGCCAGGGTCGGTCACCAGAGAGGTCTAGCTAAGGAAAAGAAAAAGAAACAAAGCAACCATACCGGATCATACAGCGTCCATTCCTGATTCCAGACTTTTTTCTAAGATATCCTGTCCTAAACTCAAGAAATGGGTTGTTGAAAAAACCATGTGTCTGAAAACACGTCAAAATGAATTCGGTCAAACCTGAGCTGGAGTGGTTACCCAACCTGAGCTGGATGACAATCTCGGCGGAACGCCTTGAACGCCTTGAGAATGATGCACAAGGCGTAAGAGGTCCTGAGCAAGCAGGATCATGATCAAATTGTCACAGCAAAGCAAAATAAGTGAAGGTAAAAAAAGACTTGTTGCGACAAGCTTCTGTCGTAACTTTGAAGAAGTTGGGAGGACGCATGAGTGCGGTTTTCTGTCTTTTAGCACTTCGTTGACTCTTTTCATGGGCCTCCATCGTGAAACAGACTGCGCCCGCTGTCCAACGTTCTTCGGCTGTTGTCGGCTGTCTGTTTGGTCGCTGCTCTTCTCTCCCAGCTTTCGCGAGGAAGCCCACCTGTCCTGGCACGATCTGAAACATGTCCATCACTGCCGCAAAACTTGCCTGCATCACTGGACTCTGCCACACTTGTAAGTTCCATGTTGACAAAGTCAACCCGACAAATTCCTGAGCAAGCTTCGGCCAAGTCTCTTTGAGAACATTATCCAAAAAGAATTTCGCCATGCGCGCTGAAGGAATCAAACATTGAGCGATTCGCAGAATGTCTGCCTCTGGATCATTCAACTCCCGGTCAACAGGTGCCTTCAAGCCATGTTGCCGGCATCGGATCACCCTTGTGTCATTCTGCAGCCGCAAGGCTCCAGTGGCGCTGCTAAGATTTGCAACTTCCAATGATGTGCCCATTCCTGTCCCTTGTCAATGCAAGGGGTACATTTACCCTAACAGCGAAACTTTTATGAATCTTTTCCAGTCTCTTCAACGATGACCTCGCACACAATCAAAGGTGACCGTTCCAAGAGTCTCTTGCAAATCGTGTCCCCCCAAACGTCTTGCTCTCGCAGTGGTTCAGGTGGCGGGGCGCTGCCCGAAACTTTGGAAATGAGAGCAGCAGCTGTTGAAGCCTGAGCCGCAGCTGTTGACGTTCTTGGCAACTTCTTCTCTGTAAAAGGACATGGATAAGGCGGATGCTTTGGCACAGCCTGATGCGCCACTTTGATGGCCCGTAGGCGCTCCCAGAGCTCCAACCACCAGAGAGGCTTGTTCTCAGGAAACCTGATATTCTGACCGGACAAAAACTGATAGCACAAACTCAGTAGAAATTAAAAAGGACGCCCAAGATTCCAAAGGAATATACATAATAAAAGGAAAGCAAATGGTAACTGCCACAAGCTATTCCCATGTTTCTCGCTTCATCATCCTGGAATCGAACACCTCTTCGATTGCGCTGCACAGTTCACGCATGCAGGTAAGCCATCTGTTCTGCCGCAGCATGCTGTCGTTTTCCGCAATGAGCGCACGGGTATACCCATTGAATCTTTGCATGACCTTTCAAGCAGTTCCGCCTTTGTTTGATTTGTTCCACGGCCGCAGACCGTCTATATCAATCATAGCTGTCATAGCTGTCATCCGTGCAGCAACATCCGATTGGAGAAGCACGCCAAAATGGTCGAATTTCGCATCCCAAGGTATGATGTCTAAAGCGAGGAAGCAACACACGAAGTCTAACATTCCGATAAACAGTTCCACATAACTGTGCCATGCCTCTGGCGAGCATACGCGATCAGCAGCGCTTTTTCTGCTATAGTTATTGCGGCGCTACCTGTCTGCAAGTCACAACTTCCACCCAGAACCAAGTTCCCTTCTTGCTCCAGGAAACACATTCCAAAATATGATGGCAGAAGTGCATGTACCCTGGGAAACACATTCCAAGTCTCCATTTCAACCCTAGCTGTGTGAGGCCAACCTTGCAAGTTGTGCTCCCGTCGCATGAGCTTCAAACACAAAGGTAATTCACCACATAGGAGCGCTTCTTTGTACGTAGGCACCGTGACCTGGCCCAAAGATTCTGTCTTCAAGCTCCATTTTCTCATCTCATTTCCACTTGTAAAGACCATGTGCACATGTCCTTGTCGAATCATTGGCCTGTTTCACACCAAGTGCCTGCTTGGCTTGCAAGCTCTTTAAAACGTTCAGACAGTCTCCACCTTGTTGGATGCAAATATGGCTGCAAACGGATCATACAACGTCACAATCCCTGAGTCGCTGATCTCGCTGATCGGAAAAACATGATCGCTAATCCATGGTCGCTGATCTCGCTCCGACAGTCGCTGATTCTATAGTGGTCGCTGATCCGGGAAAATTGGTCGCTGATCCGAGAAAAAATGGGTCGCTGATCCGGAAAAATTAGTCACTGATCCGGGAACCGTGGTCGCTGATCCACTATATAGTCGCTGATCCTGAGTGGTCGCTGATCCAGCAGTCGCTGATCCGGACCCTCAGTCGCTGATCCAACATTCACTCGGTGCCACGCCCCGGAGCCCAGAGAGGGCTCCGCCCTGGTGCCGGAGCCCATGGGCAGGTGGCATGATGAAGCACCTTCCAAACCATGACCACCCCCGAAAGCTGCCCAAGAAGAATTCCCGGGCACCCCAAGACACATCCATCATTCAGGAATGATGAGTTTAACAATGTTTAACACATGAGTTCGCCCCAAACCCACAGTGTTTTCCCGACGTCCACCGCGGGCCAAGCTCCCGAGGTTGTTCGTGGGCTCCGCCCAACACCCCGCGCCCAAGACGTGAAAAAACGAACGTGGGATGTGGGGCTAAAGGGATCAGCTAAAGGGATCCATTTGGAGGTCGGGGACAGCTTGATTTCAATACAAATCACCAAGTCCTTCAATTCCTCCCGTGCCATTCTACGACCCAAAACTCTGATGTTTTGACCATCTAAACCTGGCCTCAAGTATTTGAGGTGGCAGTGTGGCTATCCTGGCAAAAGCTTTCAACGAGTAGTACTACAATGTTTTACATGACATGAGGTGCAACCGGTCCACATGTTCAATAGCGACTCGTTTGAGCTGCTAACAGGTGTGTTTCCCCGTCTTTGTTGAGTTTCCCAACCATTGGTGACGTCAGACGGCAGCGGCTCGAACGGACTCGAAGGGGTCGAAGGGGTGAGGATCGGCATCTCTGTTGGGGCCTCATTGGAGTACAACCTGGCAACCTGGAGCTGCCTGAGCAAGCCTGAAGGGTTCATCGATGCAGCTCACTTAAAGTGGGTGCTTTGAACAACATCGAATTGATCACAAAGCCATTCGGCTCTCTTAGCCTCTGTTAGCCGGTTGTCATGCCATTTGGTGCATCACGCAAGGTGCGAGAAGGTGAGCAGTGCTGAAAAGCAACCGAGGTTCCAACATGTAAAAAAGAACATGAAACCACGCATCACCAAGTTAAGAACATTTATAAAAAGAAGCGATATAGCGCCTCACTTGTCCTCGATTATCTAGAATCTAGTCCAACAAGAGACTCGTCACACCGCCCATCCCATCACTTCCCATGCCTCCGATCTCGAAGCGACGCCACTGCCAAGCCGTCGTGATCCTGGCTCCGTGCCGATGTTTGTTTGGCACTGAAAGACACCAAAGCATCCCAAAGCCACATGTGGGGCCATTCTTGCAGAGTTATGAGATTTTCTGTGCACCTCAGATGTTGCAAGATCAGACAAAACACCTTAACTTGCCGAAATTGGTCGCATGCCCAAAGCCTCAACACGAATGGACGTGAACGCCATGTTGCACCAATTTGGAAGTCAATCGAAAGGCGGTCACTTTTCTCAAATTACACCATGCAAAGTACAAAGCCACAACCAAGCGCATTCCATTGTCTCGGAGTTGTCTTCCTGACACAAAAACTTGGACGAAACGTGCTAAATGGTCCAAAATCGTCTTGAATACCCTGTCTGATATATATATATATTAGTAGTAGTAGTAGTAGTAGTAGTAGTAGTAGTAGTAGTAGTAGTA